TAGTATACAAGAGTCTTTAGTTAAGTCCTCATAACAATTAGTGGAATAGACGCCTGAGGCAGACTGCGCACAAGAGTTCTGGTCAAAGTATACCTACCAGGATTTTTGGAGGTTCTGTTAGTGGTGAGTTTGTACCTACTGCCTGTGTTTTATTGCGGTTTCTAAAATTACGTCACATTAACAATTAAAAAGGGAAATTATATGGATTTCACCATGTTCAAACTTGTTTTCTTTTACTCTATCTGTTTTCCCGTATTTTTAATAGATATGACAAGTAAATGCTTTAATATATATCTCAATTGTCGTTTTTTAAATTGATTGACGTAAACTAATTATCTCATGTTTTGAATATTTTGACGATCCATTGCATATTTTGTCGGTTTGAGCATAGGGTGTATAATTGTCTATGTTTTACTTTATCGGTTGAAAAAAAAAAATCGAAACTATTTCTTTTCCTAAAATCCGAAGTTAAGCCTGCTGTTGTCATAGTCACCACTACTTATGATTTCCGTTTAGGGAAAATCTAAGAACATCTGAAGATCTATTAAAGTTTTTCTGGTATTTTTCTAAATAAATGTACCTGAAAATTTGTTTGAAACTGTGTACATTAGCCAGTTTGATTTATAAGGATGGTATGTCTTAAGTCATAAAAGTTTAACTAGGTACATGTCGACTGCGCATACAGTATTTCATATCTGATATTGGCAAGTATTTTAAGTAATTTATTCATAATTAGATATTGAACAAGACGGTGGTAGAAAGTTTTGTGAAAAATGTCCAAAATGAAAACAACTTTAATAAATTCATGGATAAAAGATTAACCTGAACTTATTTTAACTGACGAAAATATTTTCTGTAAAGCATGTGGGAAAACGATAAGTGTTTTTATCTTGAAATAAAAGAATACTAATTTTATTTTTAATCACAATATGTTTCAACGCAGCTTCACAAAAGGAAGTGTTAAATTCACTACAAATCAAAACCGCAAATTTCCTTTAAAAAATCTCTTGCCCTTACTTCAAAGAAAAACGAACAGCAAGTATTTAATTCAGATTTACCTAAAGCGATGCTTAAAAAGTTGCAAGATTTTTATTGTTTCAAAGCATCTTCAAAAAAATGTTGTAAAAATGTTGTACCGGATGAAAGTATTCTGAGTAAAAATTATGTACCAGGTATTTCCAATGAGATAATTTCTGACATTAAAGAAATAGTAAAAAAACAATTTATATACAGTTATTTATATAGTGGACAAAACTTCTGATGCTTGTGGGCTTATATTGCCATTCTACTGGTAGTTTATTTAAATGATAAAGGACTAGTAAATCTTATTTAATTGTGTACAAACAATTGAAAAAAAAAAAACATCTGACTGTATTAAGATTTATAAATGAAACTTTCATGAATTTCTTCTTCCTGATGTTTTCCAGCACAGAAGATTTTAGTTATGTTACAATTTAAACTTCTATATCCTAATTTGAATCACGTTACATTTTTGACTCACCGATTAAAATGACTTGCTCAATAAATTAGGCAATAATTTCCAACTGTAAATTATGTTAAAAGATATTTGTAATGTCACCTTTGAGGGTGCAAATATCTAAAGACAAGTTGCCACCACTTGAACAAATGCAAAATTTGATTTTAATTAGAATTTTCAAATGAGAACTGCAGTGCTATCCAATGTGTCATCAAATTTTCAAAAAACTTTTCTTTGCTGAACATATTAGCAGTGTCGGATTGTGCCGCCACGCAAGGACACCGGGAATTTTAATTAATTAATAATTATTCATATTTTTCACATTTGCAAGATATTCAATTACAAATGCAATAAAAAATATAACAGACACATAAAAACAATATAATATGTACTTAAATATTAAATAAGAACATCTTTTTACTTTCAGAGCGTATACTGAGTACGAAACAACAGGTCCCCCGTTTCCGTCTGTATGTCTGTCTGCCGTCTGTCCAGATTTTTATTAGAGAGATAATCTGAACAAGTTGTTAAATTTTATGTGTATTACGAATATCTTGTAGATGATCAAAATTTGGCTAATCATTCCTATCAACAATTTGTTGACGTCATCTTCAAAATTTACAATAGTAAATATTATTTAAATTTTACAAAATAAGATACTCCTGCACATGTGGTTTATGAACCCCTGTTGAATTTTTATCCTAAACATGCAGATTTTTGGAGAAAAAAAATCAAAATGACAACATCTTGCAATTTAACTTTGAAAGTGCTCTGAAATTTTGGAAACATTTTAGGTTATCGTAAGCATGGTAAATCGTTAATGATTTTTTTTCGTTTATGCCCCTCTAGAACAATAATGACATGATTTTACAATTTTGCCGATTTAATTTATATTTACCAAAAATAATTATTGGTGATTCCAAAAGCATTGTTCATTATTTCAAATCCAATTCGCATCTCAATGACTCAGGTTTAAGGATTGGATTATCGGACGTTTCAACCCACATTTTTTTTTCATTTATAAGCGTTTATTTACGTTATTTTAAGGTACTTTATCATGTTTTTAAGCAAACAGGCCAATTTTGGCGTTGAAGTTTTTTATTGCTTTTTTATAAAATAAAAAAGCCAATTTTCGTCATAAAGTTTTTTTAATGCATTTTTTTAACATTTCACTACATTTTTAAGGTTATTTTTTAAAAAATTGATTTCTAAAGATTTTGAAAAATGATAAAGCACCTTATAATAAATTAAAAAACAAAATGTGGGGTGATACGTAGAACCATTTTACTTACTACTAATTTGTCCCTGTTTTTTTTTTGATGTTATATATTTTTTAGGATTTCATAGGTACCTACTCCTGCATGTGTGATTTATGCATCCGTGTCGAGTTGTCACGGTAGACATCTCGATTTTTGGGGAAAAAATCAAAATTGTAACATTTTACAACTTAACTTTGAAATTGTAAAACCAAATATTTTAAAAACTTACAAGTTTTTTAAGATTATCGTCAGAATAGTAAATCGTTTATCAAAATTTTTTCGTTTATGGCCTCCTCAAAAATCTTAAATTAAAAAAAAAATTACATAATGCATGTACCCTAGACATCGAGCTTTTTGGGAAAAAATTCAAAATTTGATTTAACAATTTAATTTGAAAATTGCAAAAACGAATGTACCTACTGAAATATTACAAACGTTTCAGAGTTATATGAAAGATGATAAATCGTTAATCGAAATTTATTCGTTTAAAGCCTTCCCAAAAAAAAAATAACCATCTTAGTATTCTGGCGACCAAATGTTCTTTAAATTTTATAAAATAAAGTAATTTTGAAATTGCAAAAACCGAATGCTGTGAAATCGTGGAAATATTTATTTTAAGATCATTTGAAACATGGTAAATCGTTAGTCAAAATTTGTCCGTCATTTTACATTTTTGCTGAATTTACGAGTCTTTTTGGGAAAAAACTGAGCATGAATTAATCAATCAGTCCTTTCCTCTGCGTTGAGGACACAAAATCAACCAAATTCCATTTTCTTTTAATCGTTGATGTTTTTGTTAGGAGTCGAATTCGGTCGAACTATAAACATAAACAGTCGAAGTTAAGCATATTATACTGAGAAATTGAAATTGCCTACACTTTTTCCCGTTAGTTATCTGCTTTAAATATATTTCATATTTAAAGACGTAAGCGTTGCGGGGATGTTAATAATAATAATAATTTTATCATTTTTTAAAGAAGGGGAATTTATCGGACCATACTTCAAAAGCGAGGGAAACTCTGTCAAAATCACTTTTCACATTTTTTTAGGTTTGTAGTGACTTGGTAGTGTCATCAAAATTACAAAAACAACATAATTTTTCCAAAACGCCAATGTAGCCAACAAAACTGAAAATAATAATAGTAATAATAATACCCAAACAACATCTGTATGCAATATCACAAGGCCCCACTTTGTAAATTTCCCAGTGGACTCTCATGTCCTCATTTCGACACTGCATATTAGCATTTATTAATGCGAATTATCAATTTGTTTTGGCGACGATTACAAAACTAAAAACAGAATGCATACCCTTAACCAAGTCTGTGCATTTACCTAATTAAAAATTTTCAAAGCAATACTTCGAATATTTCAGGAAAAATAGGCGATTCTATAAATAAAAAATTAAAAGAGGTAATTAATAAAAATGCTGGTTGCATATGTGCATAAAACTGTGTATATTTAACAAAAATTGGGTATATTTCAAAGAAATTTTGTGCATATAAATCCGCTCTTTAAATAACTTTTAACTATAATTTTTTGTTTTATTTTTATACTTTGGCGCCTCTTCCAAATTTCACCCCTCGTCCTAGTCTCTCTTTGGAAAAAAACTGGTCAATTCTGGGATTTATTGAAGATTCGAAACACCTGAAAATTACCTGATATATTGATATAGATATTTAAATTAAAAAATATAATGGGCTGTGCGGGTGACCGATTTACTGTGGTCAAGAACAATCTACCTTTTTAAACGAATTTTTAGATGTAATCATTGCTCTACTGCCTTGACTGATTCTCTCTTTCTACATCTACGTATTTGTATCTTTTTCTAACAGGAGTCCCGAAAACTTTCGTGAAAATTGTTGTGTACTGACCAAGGATAAGGGTCTTGGGAGTTCTCTGGTAGGTACTATGTGTTTTGAAATGGGAGCGGCTCACTAATCTCGATGAACGACGGTACACAATAATATAAATTCCGTATCGGGCGTTTTATGACTGGATCTGGTTATAAAACAACACCGGCCTCTTTGAAGGAATCTGAGATCGTGTAATTATTTTTGTGGCATATAACACAGACGGATCGTTCTATATTCGTCACGGATTTGCATACACAGACGTAAAATTGAAATTGCATTTTGTATTAAAGGTAAACTTATCCGCAAGGTTAAAGTTTAATATAAAAGTTATTCTTATGTTATGTGCTTGTCGTCACGTTCATGAGTTATGGTCCTACACGCTTCAGGGATCATAATGGATAGCCAACCTTCCTTGGACACTTTTTTATTATTTCGGCCATTCGTTCATAACAAAGTTTGATACACCTATCTATTATACATTATACAATCTTAATTATATAAATAAAAATTTACAATCAAAGACACTCATCATCATCTACTTCCATTTTTGAATCTTCATTTACATTACTTTTTTCAGTTATGGGATCTGAAAGGTTTTCATCTTTATTTTCTTCTGGGATTGCTTCACCATCCCAGTTCTCTCCCTGAGTACTTTGTTCATCACTAACACGAACTTCCTCAGTTCCATTACTTGGTTCCTCTAAAATAGGATTCTTTTCTTCATTTGAAGCCTCATGGAACATGTCTGTGTCCCCATCTTCATGCTTTTCTTCTAACGTGGTATCTAAGTCACCGTTTTCCTCAGTTTTGTCAGTTTCCTCACGAATTTCGCCTTCATCTTTCGGTTCTTTGTTCTTTCTTAATTCAAAATTCTTTTTCATTCTTTCTTCTATATGTTGCAGCTCATCAAATACTTCCTGCCTCTTTTTATCAATCATTTCTAAAATAAAAATAGGTATTGCAAAAATAAATCACTTGAAACACAAACTTACTCTCAATGTCTGCTTTACACGTTTCCAGCAATGCTTTACTTGCATCATTCATTTTTCGTGGTAGAAAATGTATATGTGGTTTAGCCTTTGTCTGTATGAAATTCATCCTTGGTTTTTGCCTTTCCTCCCAAGCTGCATATTCCTTCATCCTCATCATTTTTAACTCTATCATTTTTATTTCCGCTTGTTTCTTTTTTCTGTTAAAGAATAGCTCTTGCCGCTCCTTTTTAATTTCCTCTTTTTCTTTGATTTCATGTTCTTCGATTTTTTTCTCCAGTTGCGCCCTTTTCTCTTCCTAACGAAACGCAGTTATAACCACGATAATCAAAATTTCATAAGACACTTACCTTCTGTTTTAGTTTAGTCTCCTCCTGTTGGAACTTCTGCAACGTACCCAACAACGCCCCAAACATTCTCCTGTTTCGTGCTTTTGATTTCTCATCCTTACTTTGTGCTGCTAGTGCTTCCTGTCGACTTGGTAACTCTTTAGGTGTAACAATAACCTTGCTGATCATTTGTTTTTGTGGTTGTTGGTGCAGATCTTCTTCATAGTGATTCGGTCGCTCTGACAAACGCTTAAATACAGAAACTCCGCTGGTCCTCCTTTTGTTGGGTGGTTCATCGTTTTCGTGGTTGAAGTTTCGGGTGCGTCCAACCCTTATACGGTTTCTGTCCTCTGGTTGTACCCCCCTTTTGAGGTTCGCTCGTGGAGGTAAATCTGACGGATCTCTGCCTATTAACCTCTTTATATTTTCGTCCACACCTTTCAAGCTGTTTTTCGCTTGTTCCAATTCGGATTGTAGAGTTCCAAACGATTTTAAAATTTCTGTGCCCATTTTTATTTAATAAATCGATTTGAAGTTACAAACACTAACCTGTCATGATGCTTACATCAAATGTCACCTGTCAATGCAGATGAATTGGTAGCATTGACGACGCCACTTTTGAAATGATGTTTACTCTTTTTGATACCAATAAAAATTTTCAAAGAATTATAGTGGGTCTTACAGTTTGTGTAATTAAGGAATCATTATTAGAATTTGGATTAAACAACATGCGGATTTAATTAATCCGTTCAATAGTACCAACATCACAAATACTTTAGCGCACTTTATTTTTAGATCAGCTTACAGTAAAAATGTTTAAACTTAAATATATTTTAAACTTAACAAACCAAAGACGATTAGAAATTAACTACATCAGAATGTCAACCTACTATGGTACACGTCTTTGTACAATAAGTTTAAAGCCGTCATTATTACACCAGGTTCTCTTTTTCCATGTGGATCAAACAACATTGTGTTTTCCACAGAGCTTATAGCTTTAAATATCACGCCTCGTAATGGTTTAAAATTAGAATTTACTAACAAGTCTGTATTTTCTACGTTTTCTTCAACTTCTTTTATTTTTCTAGATGGAGGAATTAATTGTGGAGGTCCCTGAGGTGGTTCTTTTTTGGGAGGAAATTCTTCAGGGTGTTTGACTTTCGTTGTTCCACCCCTGTCTAAACAAATAAAAACCATTTTAAAAAACTCAAATCTACTAATAAAATACATACTAGAATATCCTAGCTGTCTAGTCAATTCTCGAATATGAGCTCCTTGTTCCTCTGTTTGTATAAACAAATCCCTTAAAGAATCTTTCAAGTCCTGTATCTCTTTTAATCGAGCTTCTTCTTTTGCAGCTTCTTTTTTCGAACTCCTATAATTAACAAAAAGCAAACATAAACGCTCCATACTTTGTGAATACTGTACCAATTTATGTATTTTTATAACAGTTCTTTAGTTCCACTCCCAATATTATGGTTACAAACAAGTGAAAATATCTTAGACCTACATTTTGCTTTAGTTGAAAAAATTGGATGCAATTGTACAAACCTGTTATACTCTAATACTAAAATCCCTGCAGCAATGGCAAATATGACTGTTTCTCCTAATAAATTTGCACCTAATTCTATAGAAGCAGCTTCATTTAATACTGTAAGGTTCACCGGTTGTCCTAGATGCAAAAGCCACATTTTTGTCTTGGTTTCGCACCAGTTATAAACTAAAATATGCACTTGATTACTATTTTGTAAACTGGTTACCGAACTTACATTGTGCAGGAGGTAGACAGACATATTTTCTAAAAACTGGTGAACTCTTCGCCCCCTGTTTAACAGCGTTTGCGATGGGTTTACTTATTTGTTTTATTAGAAGGGCTCCGAGTTTTGCTACAGGAAATACGTGTACTACCATTTTTAACAACTACTTTATTCTATAAGAAAAAGGGACACCAAGGACACATCCAAACGTCAAATCAATCCGATCAGTCAGCTGTCATGATGTAACGTGTTAATAATTTGGGGTTATTAGGTGACATATTAATACCAACTCTGCAGATTGTAACTACGTCATTAAAAACAACTAAATTCAAATATTCAACTGCTTTTCATTTTTACGTTCATTTCGGTTGCTATATTTTAGCTTTGATGTATTTTACAATGATTACGAATAAAGTTTGTAAAGTTTATTAATAAAGCTTTAAATATAAGTACATTTTAAAAATATTATCTACAAGTTTACAAAAACCATTCCATGGTTTAAAAAAAATCTGTAAATGTAAAATAAAAATTAATACTGAATTAGCTCCAAACACAACATGTTTACAATCATTTTTTGTGTTTCACTTAAACAAATTAACAAAAATGGAAAATTTCTACAGACAGCAATACTGCTCAAATGGAACCTCGTGAAGCCTTTAAAAAATGATTGCAATACTGAAAAACCCAACAATAACACAACAAGGAATATTCACAGATTTATAAATGCAGAGATTATATTCAATTAGATAAAAATAAAATAAATAACGACGTTAATAAATATATCTTGTACATCTATCATAAATTAATACCGTTATTTTCACATTAATAAATAAACATAAAATTAATTTACACAAATGTCGAATTAATAAATAAAACCTGCAACTACTGAATATGTAACCTAAAACATTTTTCAGGCCTTATTCTCTCTTCCGCTTCCCTACCGTTTGTCACCACACTATTCAGTAGCTATAAAAAATATATCTGAGACTTAATTTTGGTGTTTGTCTTAATTCGAAATTAGAAACATCTAGTTATATTTTACACGACTAATTGCGGTGCTTTGCACGAACTAGTCATTTTTCCTTAATCAGCTAGTACAACATCAAGCATTTTATACAGCTAAAGAAATCTTTACTTCTTTCTTGTCGACTGCTGAGGACTTTCTGGGGGAGAGTCTTGCGCTTCTTGTCGAAGGGATCTACGTGGCACACTTTTCAAACTTGATGAGATTTTCTTTAAAGGACGAGGCGAAATACTGGTGGACTCTACATTTTGAGAGACGTCGGGATTATTATTAAACCAAACACCCCTGGCAGCATCAGATGCTGAAACTACTTCTACATGTTAATATTTTCACGTTTTCATTTTAGAACAAATTTCAATAAAATTAGTTGAAACATTATGATTTTGATTTTTCTAATGCATAATAAATTTGATCAGAGTTTAACCATTTTCAGAAAACATAAATCAGATCACAGTCATCCTTCCCACAGTATTTGATGATCTCTTTTTCTTTCATTTAATAAAAAAATACAACCACTCAGACTGCTCTGAATCCATCACACAAACAATTGTTTGTGCTGAACGATCATCGATGACTGAGTTTGACCTGATTAGATCAAAAATAGTCTGCCTCACGCTCAGGATACAAAGCTGTCCCACATCATCGTGGTTGCGTCAACTCCACAATTGAATGTGGAGTATGTGAAGATATACTACAGAAATGATCCTGTGAAGTATGATCTTGCCAGCACCAACAACCCTGATAACTTTTATTAAACGAGAACCGAACGACAGTCGTTACTTCTAACTTGCTGCGCCATCTACCAGATAAAGTACACACTATTTCCCTTGCCAAATATATTCATTGCGACTGTTTTTTTTATATTTTACCATTCAGTCATTTTTTTAAATAAAAACTTATTTTTAAACTTGACACATCTACGACAGTGGTGGGGATGAAACTCCCTCTGATGATGTCAGATCAAAATCAGAAACTGATGACTGTCCAGTGTGGATCAATTTCTAAATAAGCCAGTATCACGTTCAGGTTTTAAAAATGAAAAAAATATAAACATACCAATACTCACACCAACACAAAATTGTTTTTAATCAATTTACCTCTAAATTTCGAATCATTTCTTTGATTTGGTTTATGGGAGTGTCCATGAGAGTCCAGAAGCGCTGCTGCTAGCATTGATGGATTTCCTGTACACGCTGGACCATCTCCCGCTCCGCTGGAGGTTGAACCGCTTACACAAAACGGACTTGGGGTAGCTATGGGACTGTACACTCGCGATATGAAATCTTCATAAGTAGTATTATGTTTATGTTTTGTTACGACCGTCTCAAGTGATAATGCCCGTTCCTCATAGCTGCAACAACAAAAAATAATAAATATACATTACTTAAGTAATTTACTTACTATTGCTGATAAAACGTCAAAGTGGTTCTTTTGGCACGACTAGCGCAGATTGCAGTTGCTCTAACTAAACCAGCTAGAATGTTATTCTCAACGATAGCTTCGTGGAACAGGATTCCGAATTGCGGTACCTAAGATCCAAGAAATCAGTTATATCGTTGTACCTCTCTTCCATACTCACGTCAGGCTTGCAGTTAACTGTCACCCTATTTAAGTTATTTCCTAGTGGGTAGATTGTTATCAAAATATCACAGAACTCGGTGGGAATGATATCACGTCTATAATCCCGACAGTGCTCTGACCACACTATGTGAACCTCATCGTTCCCCAAATGTTTTGTCTACAAACACGTAATTTTAATAGATCAACTAAATTCTATAATTCACTGAATTCGCCTACTTTGTTTAGAACAGTTTCAGGTGTATCTCCTGGCATTCTTGTTGCAACATGAAAAATTGCCTCCGAAAAACTGGTTGCTACGTATGGAGCTGTTAAACCCGTAGATCCTTGGCGTTGTAGGCCACCTAAGAAACCCGTGTGTCCTTCTAATTCCACTTCCCATGCTAAAGCTGCGAGAAATTGTTCATAAGCAGCACTGCCGCCTTGGTTTGACAGAATGGAATTTTTGTCTTCTTGGCCAGGGGCGACGTAAATTACGGCAACCTAAAGAATTGCAAAATTATATTAAAAATTAAATTCGACATGTATTGGTACCACCTTGTGCGTTTCTCTACATCTCTGGCTATCCAAATTTCGCAGTTCTCTTAGTAGGCGCTCAGTCTTATTGAGAAGGTGCAGTTGTTGGCGCCGCTCCCATCCGGCCAGACCTAGTTGTGAAAACAATAGGCGACACTGTTGGAAAGCATTTTGCTCGATGATTCCACTAGAAGCTGTAAAACATAAAATTGTGCGTCAATGAAAAATCTGTTATGATTTATTACAAAATGGTTGTAGACGCAGATGGCTGTGAAAACTTTAAATAAGTTGGTAGTAGAAGTAAAGTAATTAAATATTTTTAGTTCCTGGACATAAACTAAGAAGTATTGTAATCAAGTCCATTGTTCGACAGGTTACTTTTTTCCGTCTCTCTGCCGTCTGTCCGATTTTTTATTAGACATAAAATCTGAAATTACTGGACCGACCGACTGTTGTCAAATTTTATATATATTAGGAATATCGTGTAGAGTGTAGATGGCAGAACGCTAACCAAAATTTGGCTAATCATCCCCACCAACAATACGATGACGTACGTCATCTCTAAAATTTTCATTAGTAAATATTATTCAAGTTGTTTAAAATCGAGTTTTTACACTAGAGATCCAAATTTATGAAAAAAAAAGCAAAATTGTATAACAATTTACAAATTAACTTTAAAATTGGAAACTCAAATGCTTTGAAATTTTGCAACGTTTAAGGCTATACATTAGGGTGATTCAAAAAAAAAAAATTATTTTTTTTTTCGTGTCAAAGAGGTTCAAAAGTTTCTTTTCAACGTAAAAAAATACCAGTTAAAAGTTGAGCTCTTAATATTAATATTAAGACCGTCCGCATCGCGTTTTTCTATTTCCCATAAGAATAACATGGGAAAATTTTTGTTTGCACCTTCTGATTTTTATTGCTAGCCCGTCGTGTGTCGTGAAAAAAATTCAATCACATATTTTTATAGAGAATTGAACGCTCTACAAAAAGTGTCTCCTATGATTTTGCGAGAAACCTGACTATGATTTTTTAACCCACTGATGCTGAAAATGTTCGGAAAGAGTTTTACTGGCCTTATTATAGCATAAAATTATAAACAATTACTGTTTAAAAAACTAAATTTAAAATGTGTATAAATTTTTGTGGTGATTTATTCCAATAAGACCATCAAATTTATTGTAATGCATCAAAAACGTCAAAATTTGGATAAATTTAACTTTAGCCTAAAATAACTCTTCAACTATCAGGTTTCTCGCACAATCATAGGAGACACTTTTTGTAGAGCGTTCAATTCTCTATAAAAATATGTGATTGAATTTTTTTCACGACACACGACGGGCTAGCAATAAAAATCAGAAGGTGCAAACAAAAATTTTCCCATGTTATTCTTATGGGAAATAGAAAAACGCGATGCGGACGGTCTTAATATTAATATTAAGAGCTCAAATTTTAACTGGTATTTTTTTACGTTGAAAAGAAACTTTTGAACCTCTTTGCACGAAAAAAAAAATTATTTTTTTTTTTTGAATCACCCTACTATACATATAGGAAGCAGGGTAAATCGTTAATCAAAACTTATCCGTGCATGCGTGCCCCTAGGAATTGATGACGTCATCTTACAATTTTGTCGAATAAATGTTACTTAAATGATAAAAAATAGCATAGTCCTGAACTTGTGGTTTATTAAACCGTTATTTTTGGAAAAAAACAAAATTGTAGACATAACAATTTTTGGAGTTTTCTTTCTCAATTTTTCGATATTTCAATTTTGAGATTTTTTAGGTTTTTTTATTTTTCAATGTTTCTTCCATTTTTCAGATTTTCGAGATTCTAGTTTACGGATTTTGAAATATTTCGATTCTTCGATTTTTCAATTTCTCGAGATTTTACTTTATGGATTTTTAAATTTTAGATTTTTCACTTCTTCGATACTTTAATATAATTAAAGTATCAATTTTTAAAATTTTAGATTTCTCGATTTCCCGAATTTTAGATTTTTCAGTTTTTCGATGTTTCGATTTCTCAATCTTTTGATTTTTCGCATTTTCGGTTTTAGATTTTGCGATTGACTTCAATTTCTAAATCTTTTGATGTTTCGATTTTAGTTTTTAAATATTTCGATGTTCCGATTTTCCAATTTCTCGGTTTTTCGACGTTTCGGTTTTCCAATTTTTCGATGTTTCGATTTTTCGATTATTCAGTTTTCCGATTTTTCAACTTTTCAATCATTCGATTTTTGAATTTTAGATTTGTGAATTCTTCAACTTTTCGATTTTTTTTTAAGTTTCGATTTCCCGATTTTTCAATTGTTCGTCAATTCAGTTTTGGGATTGTTTCTATTTCTCGATTTTTCTATTTTTCGATTTCTCGGTTTTTCGACTTTTCGGTTTTCCAATTTTTTGATTTTTCAATTTTACCGATTTTTTTAAGTCTTGGATTTTCGGTTTTTCGATTTTTCAACTTTCAATGTTTCTATTTTTAAATTTTGGATTTTCGATTTCTCGGTTTTTCGATTTTTCAGTTTTTTGATATTTCGATTTCTCAATTTTTTGATTTTTAAAATGTTTGATTCTTCGATTATCCAATTTCTCGATTCTTCAGTTTTTCGATTTTTCAGTTTTTCGATGTTTCCACTTCTCAATCTTTTGATTTTTCGCATTTTCGGTTTTAGATTTTACGATTTTTCAATTCTTCGTTTCTCGACTTTTCCATTCTTCAATTTCTAAATCTTTTGATGTTTCGATTTTAGTTTTTAAATATTTCCATGTTCCGATTTTCCGATTTCTCGGTTTTTCCACGTTTCGGTTTTCCAATTTTTCGATTTTTAAATTTTAGATTTGTGAATTCTTGAACTTTTCGATTTCTTTTTTAAGTTTTGATTTCCCGATTTTTCAATTGTTCGTCATTTCAGTTTGCGAATTTTTTCTATTTCTCGATTTTTCTGTTTTTCGATTTCTCGGTTTTTCGACTTTTCGGTTTTCCAATTTTTTGATTTTTCAATGTTAACAATTTTTTTAAATCTTGGATTTTCGGTTTTTCGATTTTTCAATGTTTCTATTTTTAAAATTTTGCATTTGCAATTTCTCAGTTATTCGATTTTTCAGTTTTTCGATGTTTCGATTTCTCAATCTTTTGATTTTTCGCATTTTCGGTTTTAGATTTTGCGATTTTTCAATTCTTCGATTCTCTACTTTTCCATTCTTCAATTTCTAAATCTTTTGATGTTTCGATTTTAAATTTTAAATATTTCCATGTTCCGATTTTCCGATTTCTCGGTTTTTTTCGACGTTTCAATTTTCCAATTTTTCGATGTTTCGATTGTTCAGTTTTCCGAATTTTCAACTTTTCAATTTTTCGATTTTTAAATTTTAGATTTGTGAATTCTTCAACTTTTCGATTTTTTTTTAAGTTTTGATTTCCCGATTTTTCAATTGTTCGTCATTTCAGTTTTGAGATTTTTTCTATTTCTCGATTTTTCTGTTTTTCGATTTCCCGGTTTTTCGACTTTTCGGTTTTCCAATTTTTCGATTCTTCAGTTTTTTGATTTTTCAATTTTACCGATTTTTTTAAATCTGGAATTGTCGGTTTTTCGGTTTTTCGATTTTTCAGTTTTTTGATATTTCAATTTTCCAATTTTTTGATTTTTAAAATGTTTGATTCTTCGATTATCCAATTTTTCGATTTCAGTTTTTAAATATGTCCGTGTTTCGATTTACCGATTTCTCGGTTTTTCGACTTTTTGGTTTTCCAATTTTTCGATTCTTCAGTTTTCCGATTATTCAATTTTAATGATTGATCTTGGATTTTCGGTTTTCCGAATTTTCAACTTTTCAATTTTTCGATTTTTAAATTTTAGATTTGTGAATTCTTCAACTTTTCGATTTTTTTTAAGTTTTGATTTCCCGATTTTTCAATTGTTCGTCATTTCAGTTTTGGGATTTTTTCTATTTCTCGATTTTTCTGTTTTTCGATTTCCCGGTTTTTCGACTTTTCGGTTTTCCAATTTTTCGATTCTTCAGTTTTTTGATTTTTCAATGTTTCTATTTTTAAATTTTGGATTTTCGATTTCTCAGTTTTTCGATTTTTCAGTTTTTTGATATTTCAATTTTCCAATTTTTTGATGTTTAAAATGTTTGATTCTTCGATTACCCAATTTTCGATTTCAGTTTTTAAATATTTCCGTGTTTCGATTTTCCGATTTCTCGGTTTTTCGACTTTTCGGTTTTCCAATTTTTCGATTCTTCAGTTTTCCGATTATTCAATTTTAATGATTGATCTTGGATTTTCGGTTTTTCAATTTTTCGATCTTTAAATTTTAGATTTGTGCATTCTTCATTTTTTCGATTTTTTTTAAATTTCGATTTCCCGGTTTTTCAATTTTTCGAAATTTTAATTTTTCAATCTTTTAAATTTTAGATTTTTCCATTTCCCAATTTTTCGTCATTTCAGTTTTGCGATTTTTTCTATTTCTCGATTTTTCTATTTCTCGATTTTTTTGTTTTTCGATTCTTAAATTTTCCGATTCTTTAATTTTAGCGATTTTTTTAATTTTGGATTTTCGATTTTTCAATTTTGGATGTTCCGATCTCTCAATAATTTGATCCTTTGACTTTTCGGTTTTAGAGTTTGCGATTTTTCAATTTTTCATTTTTTAAAATTTTTTATTCTTCGATTATGCAATTTTTCGGATCTTAAATTTTTCAATTTTTCGACTTCTCGACTTTTCCATTTTTCAATTTCTTGATCTTTTGATATTTCCATGTTTCGATTTTTCGATTCTTCAGTTTCTCGATTTTTCAATTTTAACATTTTTTTTAAATCTTGGATTTTCGGTTTTTAGATTTTCAACTTTTCAATTTTTCGATTTTTAAATTTTAGATGTGTGAATTCTTCAATTTTTTGATATTTTAATTTTTCAGTTTTTTAAATTCAAGATTTTTCAATTTCCCAATTTTTCGTCATTTCAGTTTTGGGATTTTTTTCTATTTCTCGATTTTTTGTTTTTCGATTCTTAAATATTACGATTTTTTAATTTTAGCGATTTTTTAAAATTTTAGATTTTCGATTTCTCGGTTTTTCGATTTTTCAACTTCTCAATTTTTGATTATTTTAATTTTTCGGTATTCCAGTTTTCAATTTTTAAAATTTTATATTTTTCGATTTTACTAAATTTTAAATTTTTGATGTTTCGATGTCTTACGATCACCGTTATTCGATTTGTAAAAATTTTCCACTTTTGATTTTGGATTTTTGGATTTTTCAAGTTTTCGATTTTTCAACTTTTCAATTTTTGATTATTTTAATTTTTCGAATTTTTTTGCTATGTCGATTTGTCAATTTTTTTATTTCTCAATTTTTCGATTTTTCAGCTCTTCGATATTTTTACTTCTCAATTTTTCAAAATTTTAAATTTTTGATGTTTCCATTTTTTTATTTTTCAATTTTACGATTTTTTGATGTTTCGATTTCTTACCATCTGGGTTATTCGATTCTTAAAAATTTTCGACTTTTGGTTTTAGATTTCTGGATTTTTCAAGTTTTCGTTTTCTCAATTATTCAATTTTTGGATATTTTAATTTTTTGATGTCTCAATTGCTCAATCTTTTAATTTTGCGGATTTCGATTTTTCGGTTTTTCAATTTTTCCATTTATCGATATTCCGATGTTTCAACTTTCTGTTTGTTCGATCTCTAGATATTTCGATTTTTCGAAAAGCGTTTTTTAATTTTTTCCAGTCCGCACTTGTACGGACCGCATCTCCTTGGAATTTGCGAGGGCTGCGGTGTATTTATGCCACTGGTCTTGCGGGATTTGTTTTGTTGCACTTCAGGGGCGAAGGGAGTTCTATCTAAATAACCTTCGACCAATTTTTTTGAGATTTCATTTATCTTGCAAGAAACACGTGTCAGTCCGTGGTGTATTTTTCGATGTTTTGAATTTGCTTATTTTACAATGTTTTATAATAAAACCAATCCTGCATTTAAATGAAAGGAATCACAAACTTCTTTTTTTTTGCGGTTTTCTGAAATCACAACCTCAAACTGATAAAATTGACAACTTGGTTACTTTTTTTGTCACTAAATTAATGTGGGTTTGCACAATCATGACCTGCTGCGTTGACAACTATTTGGAAAGACCTATTATATGCTCAGGGTTGCATCAGAAGCACTACTTTAAAGTAGACTCTAATTGCATAATTTTTTTCTCATTCTTTCTGAAACTTACCCTGCTGGATGCTGTTGTCGTAGGCTGGACTCGAAGCGCCCTCACTGCGACTACTAGGCCTAGAAATGGGTTGCCCCAGCATAGAATCAGCGAATTGCATAACCCTGTTTTCCTCCACTTCCAAATTCCTCTGATTTATAACAGACGCAATCGCCTCTTGTTCGATTTCAATCGACAAAGGTGGCGCTGCCGGTTCATTCAACTTCCGGTCAAAATTCTCCAAACATTCCGGACTCGTGTGTCCCAAATATTGCAACAACTGAAATAAAACCCCTGCAAAAATGAAATCCCAAAAAATCACTTACATCATCCAGCTGATCGAGGTCTTGAGCGGAATTAGTGATATCAGGCAAAACATTAGGAGATCGATGTCTCATAGCCCTCTGAGGTAAATTCGTTGAACTTCCGACCAGAAAACTCTCCGGTTGAATACTCATAGGCCCCCATTTAGTTTGATTTGAAGTAGTTTCAAAATCAACTTGTTGATTGTCATCAGAGCTGTCACTTTCGGGAGATCGATATAAAATCGACGCATCCCAGCAAGCTTTGCCTGACAGATCTCTCAGTAACACCCTCACTTGTTTGTCGGCTGTTGACAGTCCGGCGGTAACTCCGCCCCCTGGGAGATCCAGCACAGGCAACTCGATTAAGCTTGCTATGACATTTTCCGTAAACATAAAAAGCTAAAAAACACAGATTGTGAAAAAATCACGACTGAAATCAAAAATTCGCACTTGAATATTTGGTGCTGAAAAAATACTAGCGGACAATTCGTCCGAAGTTAGATTAGGAACATCGTCGTGTTCAACAACCATCGAACTAAGTCTAGCTGCCCCTATGGCCATTGGGAAGTGGCCTAGGTGTGTTACGAGGTGGGCTAAAACCGTTTTAGCACACAGGGTTATGGCCTTTTGGCACTGATGATTCTTGGATGGAGATAACGAAGGCGACGACCTGTCTGCTAAATCATCGGATAATATGTTGGGGTCGAAATCTTCATTCAAACTGGGTTGTGATAAACCTCCGGGGTTATCAGCAGAGGCTTTGCCCATCGCAATTTTGTACAAAACCTAAAATGTGAAAAATGGAATTGAATTTGGCGCGGTTTGTTGCTCAGCAACCAAAATATAAACAGCTGCGAATCACAACAGTGTGTTGATGTTGGAAACGCGTGACTGAAGGTCAATTATATCAAAAATAAAAAAGGTACTGTACTATACGAGGTATATTATACCGGGTGACTGGAAAATGGCGCATTAACTCTCCGGTACGCTCTTAACAATCAACTGGAAAAAATAGTAAAAAAAATCCTTTTCACGTTTTAGTGGAGTTATAATGATTTTAAAACTGGTTCTTTTGCTACGTAACAACCAAACAACATATTCATACTCACAATAACTAGTAATAAAACTTTTAGTTAATATTTCTCCCGCCCATGACTATGTTTAATTACCATTTCAGTTAGAATATACAAAGATATGGTTGTTTTGTTTTTGTAATAATTTGATAAAATTCTACTTGACAACAATGTTTGCCTGATATAAAGCGAAGGTACAAATCAGAAAAAATCGAATAAGCAGTTAAAAATGTTTGATTGATTTACAGGAATCTGGTGTTTTGTTGCTGGATGAACTTGAAAAAATCTTTTGAGTTTGTAGTGTTTTATTTTTTACGAATTTGAAAAAGTCGTGAGGGCCGCAGTGTCTTCTTTTTTAATTCGGGAGACTTTTGAGTACCCATGGTGATTATTTTGGGAGCCCATGGTTTTTTTTTTTTGTAAATTATTTAAAACAATTTTGGGGAACTTTGGTGTTCTATTTTTGGAAAATTCTGACTTGACCTGTTTTTGAGTTAATTTTGGGACCCCGTTTTTGTTTTTTTTTGAAAAATTTGAAAAAACCTTGAGATTCTAGGTATTCCTGTTTGGAAAGAATTTGAAAGTGCTTTGGAGCCTCTGGTGTCTTTTCTTATAATAATTTTATTAAATTTCTTAGAGGATACGTCATTTGATAAAATCAGTCTTATCTGCAGGTACTAGGTCCACCCGCCCGCCCTCTATTTTCTTAGAGAATATGTCATTTGCCAAAATCAGTCTTAACAGGTACTATTACCACCCACCCGCCCTCTCTTTTATTGGAGTGTATGACATTTGCCAAAATCGGTCTTATTTTAGCAGGTACTAACCCCCCACCCGCTCTCTATTTTGTTAGAGGGATCCCAGGTACCAGCCCAGTCCACTCGCCCTCTCGCTTCTTAGGGGGTATGTCATTTGCCAAAATCAGTTTTATCTTAGCTAGCCGCGCCCACCCTCCCTCTCTTTTCTTAGAAGGTATGTCATTTGCCAAAATCAGTTTTATCTTAGCAGCTACTAGCCCCGCCCACCCACCCTCTCTTTTCTTAGAGGGTATGTTATTTACCAAAATTAGTCTTATCTTAGCAGGTACTAGCCTCGCCCACCCGCCCTCTCTTTTCTTAGAGAGTATCTCATTTGCCAAAATCAGTTTTATCTTAGCAAGTACTGATGACTAACTTTTACAAAAAATGATCAAAATTTGAAAACATTACGAACTTCTTTATATGTACAAGGCAGGAATTTTGAACATCTTCTCTAGTGTTTAGTTGGTTATGCTTTGATGGATTTTTGTTTTGTTGGTTTGTTTATAATTTATATGTCTTATTAAATGTTTTTTTTATTTATTAATGAAAATAACAGCTTGTTTTATTAATAATAATGGACAACGATTAATGACTGCTGGTTGTTATGGTTATTGCCCTAAAAAAATACAAAGTGGATTTCAGTCAGCATCGTTACTAAGAAGTCAGAGAATAAGCTGTAGGTATTCACGCATTAGGTGCGTGCAGTGTTGCCAATTTTACTTTTTTTTAAATTAATACATCATAAAGATTTTTTTTATTATTTTACATAACGTACTGGAGAGTTAATCCGTCATTTTCCAGACACCCGGTATATCAATTATTTCAATAATTTTGGTGAAGTATAGCTAAACTATATTGTACAAAGAAAATTAAAAGCAAATGTTACAGTTTGCCAAAGTTTTTTGAAATTTTGACAAGATGTTAATAATGATTTAAAGATTCCAGAACAACGATTAATTTTTTTGCAATAATACCCTCTAGAAAGTTAGTTACGTCACCTTAAAAAATATATTAAAAATGTATTTCGACAAACTAACATTTTACAAAGATAGCAGTATTTTTTTATTTTAATATTTAGGCGTTTTCACACAAAAAAAGCAGAATCAGTTTTTATAATTTATGTAAGAAACCCGATTTCGCGAAATATTTTACCTGAAAAGTCATATAATATAATGTCAAAGTTACATCAAACCATTTTGACATCCTCTCCATTAGATTATACACATAGATGAAATAACAAACTAAAATTGATAAATTTCATAACAAATTATTTATATTACCATAATAAACCAGTATCTTTTTCACACCAACAGTTTAAACTACCTCAAAAATGTTGGAAGTCAGCTCTCCTCTTCGAAACAACTCAAAAACAACCGTCAACTACAGAGACACTCTCAAAAAAGAAGCCCAAGAACGCAAAAAGAACATTCTGCATTTAATACTGAAATATCTCCTCGATAACAACTTGAATTCAGTAGCTGAGGTGCTACAGACTGAAACTCAAACGGGGCTCTACCATCAAGTGTGTGAGAACATCGACTTGGACATAATTCTTCAAGAATACCAAAGTTATTATTACACAAAATTCCAAAAAAACCCGAAAATTCTGCGCAAGCTTGGGGAAAACGAACAACTAATAACGATAAAAAAAGAAAAAAAATCGGCACCCAAGGAAAAGCAGCCGGTACCGAAACCGGAAAAAAGCGAAGACGCTTTCCAATTTGAAATAGTAACTTTATCGAAAGAACCAAGTTCGAGTAGCATCAAATCAAAACCACTGAGTGATTTCGAAAATTATTCACCAGAATGGCGCGAGATGGCGGATCAAGTAGTCAAACAAATTGTTCCTAGAAATCTCGGAGTCACGTTTAAAGACTGCGTTAGCTTGAACACTACAATCGAAACACTAAAAGAAGCCATTATTTATCCTCTTACTTATCCTCAACTGTTCGAAAAAGCGTGCACGTGGAAAGGAGTTCTTCTCTATGGACCTCCCGGTACTGGTAAAACTTTACTAGCGAAAGCTTTGGCGTGTGAAACACCAACTACGTTCATAAACGTCACCAGCAGCGCTTTTGTTAGTAAATGGAGAGGAGACTCCGAAAAACTGGTCAAAGTCCTTTTTGACGTCGCCAAATTTTATTCTCCGACCACGATTTTCATCGATGAAATTGACGCCTTGGCATCTACAATGCACGATTCCAATCACGAGGCTTCACGGCGGTTTAAGAGCGAACTTTTAACACAAATCGACGGAATCGTCAAATCTGAAGAAGTTTTTATTTTAGCATCTACCAACACTCCGTGGGCGATAGATCAGGCGTTGTTACGGCGCTTTGAGAAAAGAATTTTAGTGCCTTTGCCCGATAAAGACTCGAGAAATGATATCCTACAATATTATTTTTCGAACAACGGGCACAACTTCAAAGACGAAGAAGTAGCAACGTTTGTTGAAAAGACGAATAATTTTTCTGGGTCTGATTTGAAAAATGTTTGCAAAGAAGTGGAAATGATCGTCGTTAGGGAAAAACTGCAGCAAATCAAGAAGGGTGGTAATAGGCAGAACGTCGGTAGGCATGTAAAAAGCACCGATGTTATAAATGCGTTGAAAAAAATAAAACCGGTCATTGAAGAAAAGGATTATAAAAAATATATTGAATGGGGAGCGAAACATGGTGCCGTGTGACCTGGAAGAACTAGATTACTTTTATGTGCACGTACTTGTTTTATTTTAAATACAATAACTTAAAGTGCTTGCGTTTTCTGTATATAGGAAAATAATTTGACAAGTTTTAAAAAGTGGCTCCCTCTTTGGGTTTAGCTGTTATACTTGGTAGAACAATAAAACAATTTTAAAATAAAATACTCACCGTAAAAACTTGCAGCAACAAACAGCTTCCTCTTTCTTCCCCATATTCTGATACCTCCAGAAGCCTCTTAGGTTCCAACTTCATGCACCATTCACCTAAACATAGTAGAAGAGCTGTTCCGAGTGCTTTATCGCTTTCGCCCGCAGTAGACCCCAAAGGTGCGTGAAGGAACAAAGCAGCACAGAGTGTATGAATCACAGCATTCCCAAGTCTTGGATACTGCGTCCAAAGTAGAGAGGCATGATCACACAGTAAAAACAAAATATTGCTCGCCAAGTGTGCAATAATTTTATTATTAAACTAAAAAAAACTATGAAATATATGTACCTACACCATATAAAATTACCTTAAGAGCCAGCAATAAAACATTAACTGCTTCAGAGACCTTTGGGTGGAAAGTTTGGTTTGTCAATTCCTTGTACACAAACATACCCAAGGCCGAGAGAGCTATACAACGAGCTTTACCTTTAGGCTCTCTTCTACCCGCTCGCAATAAAAAACTGACGACGTGTTCTTTAATGTCGGGGCAGAACATTACATGAATATTCTCTTCAAGTTGAAGCACAGACATGTTATTAAGATCATCAGGTAGGCTCAATAAATTCGCGATAATTGAGATAGCTTCCGTTCTCGGTGTTCCTTCGAGATTCTCCAAGGAGTTCAAAACGGTGTTACAGGCATGAATAAGATCAAACAACAACAGAGAAAACCCTGGTAGTTGCAAAGATAAAAATCTAGGTCCCAAAAACTTCAACGTTGTATTAAGGAACGGTTTAGAATTACCAACCAAAGCGACATGTAAAAACCTATAGAACTGAGGTAAATAGTTTCTATGTTTATGATCACAGTTTAAGGTGACAGTACAAAGTAGCCGCAACGCGCTCAACTTCCCAGACTCGAAATCATCTGGAAGCATCAAAGCTCCAAAGCACCACGGCAAAATTAGCGTCAGGGGCGGAATCAACTCTGGAGCTGGTGGCGTGCTTTGATTATCCACAGAAATTCCTTGATTTTGTTTGATTTTGATCAAGGTGTCTATTAGTTTGACTAAATATTCAAACACTTGTGAATGCAACTTTGGATCAGTTATTGTGTTAACGTCGCCTAGCGCCCCCAACATACGTCTCCACAAGATGACAGCGACGTCTGGCAGCCAGCCTCGAATGGTACCACCACAAACTACCCCTCTGTGTTCACCAGAGGATTCAGAAGTGGAATTTTCGGTAGAGAGAACATCCAGTTGAATGGGAGAGTCTTTAATAGAGTTACTTTCGAGGCCGCTGGATGGCGCTGGACTGGGTGAACGGGTTCTGTCCGTTGATTCGGTGTCTAATTGTGGGATATTATCCAAAGATAAAGAACGGCGGTGTTTGCTCTAAAATAAATTTTTTACCGAAGATGTACGTCATCAAATTTCTAATGAATGCGCTTAACTTACGTTTTTCTGCCTTTGTGACGACCTCCGTTTGACGTTTAGACTAGTTTCACTGTAACTTCTGGTTAATCCGTGTTTAGCTCTCTTTCTTAAGACATTTCCATCTGGCAGTGATGAATCTTGTCGACACACTGTGCTATGTACATGTTCACTAATATTACACTGAGTGTTGCTTTCAGGCCTGCTGACAAGTCGTCTTCCACGTTTCGATTTTTGTTCCATAAGACGATCCAATGGTAAATCCGTTAAATCTAAATTATATACATGACGAGCCAAAACTCTTGTCAAAGTTTCCATTGTTTTCTAAATCACAATCGCACATCAAACACGAAGAAAAAATTTTAAATTGTAGAACTTACCGCCCACTCCTTGATCAATTCTTCCCAGTTAGTTAAAGATGTGAGAACTAACAAAAATCGATCCCACAGTTCCCTTGAAATCATTACGTTCAAATTAGCTTTAATCCAGGTAACAATTAGCGTTTGAAAAATCGCAGGAGCAAGTTTGCCACCTAAAGAGCTCATTTTTTTTCTTGGGGGGTTTTCTCCCAGCACTAGTGAAGTTATCTGCAATAGTACCAACAGCAGCTGCTCCCTATAATCCACTTTTAGTATGCAACAAGATACATTTAATTTCAAGCAAACCATGTACTACTATCCATCCTCGTATTCATAACCATATACCTATAAATATTAAGTACTCTTTTACAAGCATCAGTCTGTTCTTCCAGCAATTTTGGAATGTGTGGGTTCACTTCTAGCAAAAATACGTTGGCAGCATGGGTCATAAACAACTGCAGCACGTTCTATCAAATGCAAATATTTTTGTTATTTTTGTAGTATAATCAACAAACACTTATTTGTGTCTCACCTGCATGCCAGCCTTAACCAATAAATTTTCCTTATGTATCGCTCCTAAGTAAGAGTCGTTTCGTAACCTTGGAGGCCGAGCACTTTCAGGATTCATGTCTTCCATGTATCTAGGACAGTCCTCTGGGGGTTCTAACATGTAAGAAGGTATCTCAGGTACGTTCAACTGAATCAAATCTTTGTAAACCGCTATAATCTTTCTGATTGCAATCACGTGACTAAAGTTAATTAGGAATGCCTGTCTGTAGATTTCGTGAACAAAATTTACGTTGTCTCTGGAGCTACAGAGGACTTCACGTACGATTTGGGCTGAGAGTTCCTCGTCGCTGGCTGTTTTGTTGGTTTGAAGGGATATTGCTGAAATGTAGAGGATTTGATTGGTTGGATAAAAGAATGACGGTTTATTTCTGCTATGGAACATGAGTATTGAGTGGTAAGGTGTTATAATTTCAAAACAATGTTTACTTTTAATATACGAAATTTAATAAGTTGTATTGGTTGCGCGCGCATTGTCATTAAGTAAACTGAGTGCTGAAACACCAATAAGTACAATAAAGAAAAAACTCACTTGATTCAAGGCTGGGGTGAGCAGACTCATGCTGGGTTTCATCCTCATGAGAGCCCACAGGGGCACTATTTGTGGAATGTGTCATTGAAGCAGGTCCGCCATCAATATTTTTCCTTGTCTGATGCAAGTAACTCGCTATCCACATAATCAAAGACACCCGACAGTAAATAAACTCACTTTCAGCTTCAGGTTTCCTTAAAACAGGTAAATCTAACCAGACACTAACATTCCTCACTTTAACATAACATTTACCTAAATTTGGCGTGTATAATGAAGTGTCATAACTAAAATTTGGAAAAATCTTCATCAAATAAAATGTCTTGAATTTCTCTAATAAAAAATGAAAGCACCTATGATGGTGGGCAGCTTTATCTTGCCACTCCAATTTAACCACTGTATGTACCATGTGCTCCAGTAGTGCTTCTAAAAAGAATTTACTTGGATGGTCTGGCGCCTTTTCGCCGCCTGAAGGTGGCAGCACTGCCAACAATTCTGTGGGAGTCACAGGATGCTGGGCGCTGGTGTCATGAAAAATGCTGCCACTGATTTGCGTGGCGACTGTAGCTGGATTGTGGAAACCTGGCACCAAAGTTTGAAACATGTTGTGGACATAGTCAGGGGCGTTGTCATTTAAAGCTTGGTACCACATTAGGAAAAAACGAATTGCTTGTCTGCGCAGTTTTATCGAATTGCCGGGGTGGAGAAGTTTTGACAGAATTCGACCAAGTGAGTGAAGTTGCCACCTTTTATGAATCAGCTCAGGGAGTAGACATAAAACCTGTTCCAGGATCCATAGCGTGCATTCTAATTCTTCTTTGTGGGCTTTATGAACTGAAATATGTATAGAAGTTTTATAAAAGTTAAGCTAAGTGTGATACCCCATCCAAACTTACCTAAATGAAAAGAAAGTTCTGAAGCAACAAAAAACAAGTAAAATTAGTACATACGGACACAACACTACATTTATTTACAGTTGAATCTGTTTGAGAAACACGTGAAAAATAATTTACAAGTGGGTTAATATAACAGAAAAACTGCCAGTACAAAACAACAGAGCACACAAGCAAACAGATTCAGGACAAGTTCGTACACTGTTAAAAGACAATGATTTACCTCGTTGTCGTAAGTTTCCTTCGGCTTGTATAAAACTGTCATAGAGGATGTTATAGACATGGCTAAAATTGGCTTCAAACAGCCCCTTCGCTTCCGCAATATCCACATTTTCTGCAAACATAAGCAAACGTCAAGTATGACAACTTAACCTAAATAAAACTGTCAAATGTAGACAGTTGTTTCAATCGTTTTTAATTAAAATAACCCACCTAAGATAACTTTCAGGTGTTTAATTCTTGTGGGCAGATCTTTTTTCGGATCCTGTACTTTGGAAGTGGATTTTTTAACATCAACGAGATTTCTTTTGCTAAACATTTTCGTGAACTATTAAAGCCATAACACCAAAGATTTGCACTTGTATTTATTGCTCAAGTGTTGCTGAACCATCGTACGCGAATACAATTAATTATAAAAGTAAATATCACATTTTTTAAAAGAAATTTCTGTGTTGACGTACATTGACATCTAAATGACGCACTGCCCCCTACTGGATGCAGATGAAATTAACTTGTAAATATACAGTGGCGGCGACTTCAAAATTTTATTTTATCAAGATGTAGAAATTAATTTAGTCGATAGTTTGTATTATCATTATTATCATCAGTCATCGCCAACTTGAGAGTTATCTAACGTGACTATGAGTCATTCAAAAACTTTGACCAACTGAGGTGGAAGGATAGTTCACAGAATACTTCCACGCACCTTCACTTGACAGGGTACTTTCAGTTTTACCAGGTTTTACGAGGGAGTTTGAATAATTACTGGGGTCTGTCGAAAATTTCTGATGACACCAATGGTTTCCTCTGTAAATTTTTTTTATTGTTAGTTATTTTAGCGATCTCAGCATTAAATTATTATTAAGGGACATCTGGCATAGTTTTACCAAGTGTAGGCACCATGAAATGCTCATTATGATAAAATTGATCTCGTTCCAAGCTAATATTTAGTTTCGCGCTGTGTTTTCTTAACTAAAAGAAGAAATATATGTCCTCCATTGCCACTTCAAATAAATTTATTTAAGACAATTCTAATAAATACATAGAAAAATATATATCAGGTATAATAACCAAAGTAAAATATTAACGGTAAAATATACTTACATCAAATATTTAATTAATTAAACTTGAAACAATATCATACATATTTTCATAACTATATAAAAATATTTACATAAATACAATTAGCATGCAACTATATATCATTTATAAAAGCTATAAAGGCCAGGGAAGAATCAAATATTCCAACTCTGCTTCCTGTCCACATGGAATATAAATATGCATGTAAATTTCCTTCAGTAGGTACTGACCACATAATTAGGCTTTAGTTCAAAATCTGTAAATTCGTAAGAAAAACTTTTCTCTGTCATATAAAAAGCGTAATCACTTATTAGTAGATAAAATCAACAAATATCATGACATCGTTGAATTAAGGTTTAAAATATTACCCAAATAATAAAATAAAATAAATCTTGTAAATCGTACCATACTACATACAAACACTAAATGGTTTTATTATTCATCATTAGTTTATAATATAGCCGCTAATGCTACACAAAATTGGGAATGAACGCTTAGGATATGTTTATATAGAATATTCATCTTTCTCAAATTTGGTGTATATTTTAGTCTGTGTAATTCCATTTATAATTCGAAGAAATGACTGAAGTAGGTACCTTCAACTTGTCATGATAACCTGTACATTTACACAGCGTTAATCATCCGAAAAAATTTCCACGTCATTGCCCTTTTTAATGCCAAAATTCCAACACTTTAATTATAATTTTTTAGCGCCTAGCTTCATGGGACCCCCTGTAGTTCTTGTAGCACGTCGTGCTTCTAACTCTTTCTGTCTCATCAACTTCCGTTCTTCCCGTTTCTTCTTAGCTTCTTCTAATTTATGATTTGTTGTGTTTGCTTGCTCATCCAAGGGTTCAAATTCCGTATCACCCCAATTGTTTACAGATCTCCTATTGCTAACACCATGTTCTTGCGTTTCTGATATAATTGGAGTCACTTCAGTTGGACTCCAAGCCTCTGAAGGACTAGTCATTTCAGCTTCCGCTTCCTTTCAACATATTTTAAACTCAAATAATGCGTCGATTTTAGGTGAAAACTTACCGGTTCTTCTTCTAAACTACCCCATTCTTCGTTGTCCCAACCATCTGTGATTTTATTGGTACCAGAACCAGACGGAGGGCTGGCAGCGTCACTAGTGCCACCTCCACCACCGCTGCCGCTACTACTGGCCATCTGACCGCCCGTCTTAAATGAAAATGTTGTGTTAAGTTTTTCATAAAAAAAAAATCATATATACAGTTAATAGTCGATAAAACTTAAGGAAAATTGAATATAATTTGAGGAATTTCTATTTTTCGTTTGCATTTAGTTAATTTGGACCCCCGAGAAGGTTTCACATTAAAAAAGATATTTGTGACTCCCGAGAAGGTTTTACATTTTTAAAAAAGACAATTGGTACCCCCGAGAAGGTTTCACATTAAAAAAAAAGATATTTGGGCCCCCCGAGAAGGTTTCACATTAAAAAAAAATATATATTTGGGGCCCCCGAGAAGTTTTTCAATTTTTAAAAACGACAGTTGGGACCCCCGAGAAGGTTTCACATTAAAATAAAATGATATTTGGGGCCCCCAAGAAGGTTTCACATTAAAAAAAATATATTTGGGGCCCCCGAGAAGGTTTCACATTAAAAAAAATATATTTGGGGCCCCCGAGAAGGTTTTAATTTTTAAAAAAGGCAGTTGAGACCCCCGAGAAGGTTTTACATTTTTAAAAAAACATATATTTGGGGCTCTCCAGGTTTTACATTAAAAAAAAAGACAGTTGGGACCCCCGAGAAGGTTTTACATCTTTAAAAAACACAGTTGGGACCCCCGAGAAAGTTTCACATGAAAAAAAGATATTTGGGCCCCCGAGAAGGTTTTACATTTTTAAAAAAGACAGTTGGGAGCTCCAAGAAGGTTTCACATTAAAAGGAAAGACATTTGGGACCCCCGAGAAGGTTTTACATTCTTAAAAAAAAAACATATTTGGGGCTCCCGAGAAGGTTTTACATTTGTAAAAAGGACAGTTGGGACCCCCGAGAAGGTTTTACATTTTTAACCAAAGAGGAGCGTATTCTCACCTTTAAGATAAAGTCGGGTAATTTCATCAATAAAAAATTTGTTACGACTTAATAAAAATAGATACTACACAATGCGAGAGAAAGAGAAAAAAAAAAAACGAAAAACCCAAATTTGGAATCGAACTGACTCCATACCACTAGACCACGACTAACGCTAATGATAAACTGTTATTATACCGTACATTATGTTTTTGCAAAAATTTGGGCAGTTAGTGAAAAAGTCAAAGCGGATTTGTACACCACACTTATAGGACTATATTTTTGTTAAATGGATACAGACATCAGACAGACAGACAGACAGCCAGACAGACAGACAGACAAACAGACGGAAATGGGAAACTACTTTTTTCGTACATTAGGGATCATGAAACGTCGAAAAAATAAAAAGTGGCCATTCGTCCGATGAACTAGATTCCTATACTTCCTTAACTTAGGCTCGGGAAGTACAAATTCCTAAATTTTTTAAAGTATACCTACAAAGTGATGTTTCTATCTTGATATTATAATTTTAAAAACTCTGCAGTCGCTGAATATTTAGTTCTTTGCGAGTAAGAAAGGGCTTTTCTTCGCCCAACTATTTACATTGTTCCTATGGTGACGCTCAAACGTCATCAAATTGATAAAATCATTACAATTTATAAATATAGCACATATATCACGACTGTCTCATAAAGTTCAGAACAACATTCAGGCGTATTTTTAAATACTGAACAAGCTTTCTTAATAAAATTTCTTCATATTTCCAATGCGAATCAAAATATGCAGATTTCATAGTAGTCGGGTGTTGAAGGCGAAATACTGTTGAAATATTTTCAAAAAAAAAAATTAAAAGACATCTACATGTCACAAAAATTTCAATGCACTTTGTTAACAAACAATGGGAATTAATGGGGTGTAGAACATTTTGTTTTTGAGTCTTAACATACAACTTTTTTTAACAGCGTATGTATTTTTAGAACAGTCTATATATTTTGACATAGTTAGTTTTTTGAATTCTAATGCGAGGTTGCCACATTATTCCAATTGTCTTGAAGTTATTAAAAAATCGCAATAGGGTTGTTTTTACCACCTGTGTGGCAATACTGTATAAACAATAAAAAACTGAGGAAGATGCCATAAAAATCTGAAATATCGATATTTTCGCTAATTTCGTAATAAACTTACCTCCATATCTCCCCAGTTGTCGTTATCACCCCAATGGTCATAATCATAATCAGAAACTGACTCATTTCCTCTACTTCCTTCTTCATGTTCTAAAGACGTCATTGAGGTAACACTCGACGTAGTTGTCGAAATGCTACTACTAGAAGGTTGCTCTAAATTTATCCAATTAGTAATCTCATTTAACTAGAAGACCGATACATTACCAAGGGAAGCAGGTTTAGTCAACATCTTACTAGCCATCGGATTCATTGACTTCACTGTGTCTGATTGACTTCGATAGAATTTCGCCGTAACTGCCGTAACAGCCCATCCAGCCCAAGTTGCTGCAGCATTGCTAAGACTTGGAGTCGCGGTGTTTACGTCGGCCTCTACGATTAATCCACCTGTTTACAACAGTCTGGACACACTTTTACTCTTACCCATACTCTCCCTAAGACTAGGATCCTCTGAAACTTTTTCTAATTTCCCTAAAAATCCCTTGATCGTTCTAAACACTGAATCTCTCACGGATTTCTCAGGATCCATTGTTAATTGACATAATGCCGGTAATATCCTTGAAGATACTTCATTTAAGAGGTAATACTGTTGCGTGGCTGCCAAAGCTAGAACTCCTGCATTTCGAGCCGGCGGAAATGGATCTCTCATTGCTCGTATAAAAGCTGATATTAGAACTTTTTGTCGAATTTGTGGGTGTAAATGCTGTGCTATCTTTCCTAAGCAAACTGTAGTATTAGTGCGGATGCCTCCTTGGTCATCTTTCGACTGAAGACGAGCAAAGTGACGCAAAACTTCGACATTTAGATTGTTATAATTTAATTTAGGTGCTAGATGTATCACAGACTGGAAAAATAACACATAATAAAGATTATTTTTTAAGGAGGAGAAAATACTTTAACAGTCTGTTCTCGAATTGTAGGGTTGGTATCCATAAACCCGTGAGCAATTTGGGGAAAGATTTGATCATTAACCGTTGCAGACTGCAGATGTCCAATGAAATATTCCAATTGTTGTAATAATCGCGATCTGGTAGCTCTGTCATTGCTAACAAACAATTTAACAACACAAGGTACTATCTTTTTTTGATATTCTGCTTCATCTAATAGTCTCCCTAATTTGAACATGGGAGCTAGAACAGCTGAACCAGCGTCGCCATAATCAAAAGCCGTGATTAATTGTGGTAATATTTTATGTTTACACACGTTATCTGGGAAGTTGTCTAGATGTGGTGTTAAATTTGAGAAAAATCGATTCTTCTCGTTTTTGTCCTTAATTTGAATTTCTTCTAAAAAGAGTAAGGTATCTACTAAATCGTTCTTAAAGTAGCCCCCAAGTTTTCGACATCTAGTTATTATATCGGCAGGATTAGGCCTTGATGACGGATTTGCCCCAACCAACTCACAATACAATGGACCCAACTGTTTAGGTATTTTATCTAAAACTTTCAAAGAAGACTGTTGATATAAAGGACCGTTGAAAACTTCCCATATTAAACAACCTAAACCCCACATATCTGAAGAGCTAAAATTCATGTAAATAAAAAATGTTTTGTAAAAATAACAAAACTGACCATTTTGTAATTGACCGTTGTTTACTAGGATCATTCTTTTCTGGAGGATCATACATTTCTAACGATGGTATAATTTTGATAGTAATATTAGTACTATCTTGAGCATTTAAAACATATTCAACACCACCTAATTTCCACTCACCAGAGGAATTAACAAAAACCGACCAAATATTAACATTGTTATGGCGAAGGTTGCCATCATTATTCAAAAACGACAACGCCCTCTAAAAAAACGAAATCCAAACAATATTCAAAATCATACACAAAAGTACCGTAATTTGAAAAATTCCCCATGCAATATACAATTCCTTTTGGGCCCCTTCTATCGTCAACTTCTCCAGATGACTAGCCAACGGTTCAATATACTCTGTAGCTAAATACAAAACCTTGTCCGACTCAAAACTATCTAAATACGTTAAAATACTAGGATGCCTCAAAGTTTTCAGCCGCTTCACTGCACCTTTGGCGATTTCTTGTTGAGTTTCTGATCCACTTTTAATGTCAAACACAAACACAGACACCTCCTCCCCAGTGCCCTTAAATACAAACACGCAACTTGCTATATTATTTTCAAAACCCGAGTTTACTGTACCTTTCTTTTGCCCTTATGAAGGGTCCATACACTCTTTTCATCGAGTCCCTTGACTAGTTCACCGATTTCAAAGTTGAAATCTTTGGAAGGATCACGAGAGAAAAATGACCACATGGCGCAAATTATTCGCACTAATTGCAGCTATTTTGTAGTAATAAATTTGTACAAACTTTTAAAAACCTAACCTAAACGTCTTGATTTGACGTACGTGAATTTTTGAAGATAATGCAGAAAATTGTTTTAGCAACCTGGTTTGCGTCAAAATCGTCAAAATAAAAGGCGGGAAAGTTGTGTAAGGTTATGTTAGAAATTCGACATTCGAAATAATTTCGCTTTTACGATTAATAAAAGGAAAAACCATGCCTCCGAATTATGAACAGATTAAGAAAAAATTACACACCGCTTTGAAGCTGGGTGGTTTCATGGTGCGCAGGTAATACTACTTGAAAAACAGTTATTTTTAAAACATGACAATATGTATCTTTTCAGAGAATTTTGTGCCTTAATTGTTGATAAATTTTTGGAACAACGCATAGATTTGGACAATAAACATTATCTGGACAATTGCATAAAAAACTTATGTACCAGTTTAGAGAACCAGTGCCTTATAGATCAAAGTATTGAGCGAGAGCACATCGAGCGAGCTTTAGAGGTAACTATTCATAATTGGCTCCTAAAAATTTGTAACTACTTCATATACAGGTATGTTTAAATTCTGGCTATGACAGGAACGAAACCGTGATCAATGTTATAAGTGCGTTTGAGTTTCCAAAATTCGCCTATAATGTTGACAGAAAACAGTATTTTTTAAGTGGCCATAAGCCCAAATTGTTGTCCTCGCCGACCTCAAAAACCCAGTTGTTTCTTGACAGATATACCGCAATTTTACAAAGAACGAAAAGGAATTTTCAGCAGAAAATCACTGAAGATAACTCAGTTAAATTAGAACTACAGACAGTGGATTATTTATTGACTCTGTCATACGTTTCTTTGAACCATACTTTAATATTAGGCTCACTACTACAGGTTTCTGAAGGCAAATATTATTTAGAGGATCCTACAGGAATCGTGCAGTTAGATTTAAGTCACGCTGTGTAAGTCTTCAAAAGCGTCTCAACCCACTTTCCAACTACCAATTGTTTTAGTTATTATGGCGGCCTATTTGTTGAAAACTCTTTTGTACTAGTGAATGGACATTATGAGGACAGGATAATCAAAGTGTCTACTATTATTCTCCCACCAGGGGAAGAATATCAAAATTCTAGACCTCTGTTCAATAAGTTAAATTATTTTGGTGGACAATCATTAACCCCTCTGAAAGACTCAATAAAATTAAAAGATCATTTACAAAGGAATAGAGGTGCATCATTAATGTTTTTCTCCAATGTGTGGCTGGACCACCCAGAAGTGAGTAAAACGCTAATTGTAGGCGGCAATTTCAATCGTTTTTTTAGACTTTTGAAAAACTGGAAACGCTGTTTAATGGTTTCAACCCAAATCCACCAGTGGCGTTCGTATTTATGGGAAACTTTATGTCTGAATGTTACAGTAGCGAGAAAATGGACACTCTGAGGAAACTGTTTAAACAATTGGCTGAATTAATTAATCAGTTTACTAATTTAGTCACCCATAGTCATTTTATTTTTGTACCTGGATTGGAAGATCCATGCACATCATATGTAGTTCCAAGGTACATTGTTAGAAGAAAGGAAATCATGTTAACAGTGACGATTTTTTAGGTTACCTATGCCAAGTGTAGTAACTGAAGAGATGACCAAAACCATACATGATAACGTGATTTTTACAACAAATCCGTGCAGAATTCAGTATTGTACAAAAGAAATCACCGTTTTTAGAGCAGATATACTCCCTAAATTATTACAAGCTTCATTGCACAAGCCATCTAAAGCTGAGTTAGCAGATAATGTGAGAATAAGGCTTGTTTTGATTGTTTTTTAGTTACTACTTTTAGTTGACAAGAACTATAATAAGCCAAGGACATCTTGCGCCACTACCTCTAAATGCTTTAACTGTACATTGGGACTTTGATCATGCTTTAAGCCTTTATCCTTTACCAGATCTGGTTGTCATAGGGGATAAAGCTGAATCCTACCAAGGGAAATACAAGGGATGCCAACTCATGAATCCTGTAAGTGGATTTTCAACTGTCAGTTCGTGTTGTAACACTCTTTTCCAGGGGTCCTTTTGTGAAAGTGGTTTTCAATTTAAAGCCTACACGCCCTTTTCCGACAAAATAGAAGACTGCATCTTATAAGATGAAAATATAATGTATATAAATTTATTAGTTAGGGCTCAAACATAATCCTAAATAAATTGTACACTTGAAAATTACTTTTACATTATATACAACTTTTGTATTAAATTGTAACTTAAAAGAAATAGCCTACCGGCAACAAAGCACCAACGCATGCCGTCTACTTTTTAGTCATATTAGTGTACCCATGAAGACCAACTAATATGCTAAGAAGTGTAGCCAACAGATCAGAGCTTCAAACTGAATTAAATAAACTTAACAGTTAATACCGCTAAGACAATACAATACGTATCAGTGAACTTCAGTAACGGTCATCAACATAAAACATAAATATCACACTGTCAAACTTAAATAATCATACAAAATTAGTTCCAAGAAAATACACAATATATACAGGGTACGCAACGATACTGTTACCAATTTTTAACAAACATATTAAATATCACATAGTTACTAGGTTTGTCTGTTTTAAAACGGACACAGTTGATCGTTCTGAACGTAAGCCAGTCGAACGCTATGAATGCCCTGAAACGAAAATAAGTAAAATCAGTACACCAAAAATCTTGCAAAATTCTTACGTCCGGTTTCATATCTCTGGCGTGCTTCTTTCCTTTCAATAGCATCAAAATACCACAACGTTATCGCGTATCTTGTGTCAAAGGCAGGTTGAACTTCGTGCGGATTTCTTCGATCTGACCAGAAAAATAAAAGTCTATCAAACACCGGCTCTATATCAGCCACCTAAAACGAAAACGATTTTAGTACCATAATTAAAAATCGAGCTGAGACTACCTTATCGCCTAGCCACCCTTCCGGGAAAATCCTAAGTAATCCTCCACTTTTTTTAACATTCCAATTTAAATTGAGGTAATATATTGCTGTTATGCACCGGCCGTCTCTATTCGGATTATCTACATGTTTGACGTAGTGAGAACCTAAACCGGGGTAGCACGCCACCATAGCCTGAAAATCAAAATCCATTGATCAAACTTTGACGATTTTTGGCATCGAGTCAGTCAAGCGATGTACTCATTCCGCTTATCGTCGATTTTATTTATAACTTTTGTTTTCCTTTCACACGAACTAAATGGACTACTATGTACTATGGCCGTCCTAATTCCCGCAACACAAGTCACTTCAACTTGTTCATAAAAAATGCAATCAACTTTATTTATTGACCATTTAGATAATGATTTAAACCCATTAAACATGTATTTATTGAGCGATAGCGTCCAAATGTTAAAGGTGATATACAGAAACGTCGATCTTTTCCACTTAAAAAGAAAAGGTCTTTCTATTCAACTTTTACATGAGTTCGCTGTTTCAACATACAGTTACGTATGGCGACGTTTTAATAGAGAAACCGAGATTTCGCCGCTTTCATTGATATTCTATGTTCAAAATTACCATAAATTCGTGACACCGTAATTTTTGACACGTCTTTCTACATGTGTGAGGGGCCTACGTGCGTATTCGCTTGTGCGAATACAAATTTAGGTCGCACGTTTTCACTTATAGATAAGAAAAAATTGCAATAATAGTAATAATAACAAGGTTAATGTTATCTAAAACTTTCCTGATTCATCGGAAGCTTTTCACCAAATTGTTTACTATAGAGTGCTGATTTTATGCATTTATCGTTTTAGGAATGTTATTATTTTATTAGTTATTTGTTTTGTTGTGTGGATTTAGAAAAAATTTCATCCACTTACTTCATTCGTCAGACGTCTGGAACGAAACCTTGACCTCCCTCCCTCACAGATGTTGAACACAACACAATGAAATCTTGTCAAATATTTATTACAACTTACTTTATTTACTTTATACCTGCACAAATTATTTTTTGGCAATTCAGAATCATCATATAGAGGTATCCTACAGTTTTTTTACATGCATACATTTTGAATAAACAACCCGTTCTTCTCAACATTCATCGATCATTATTTACATAGTGTTAAAATGTTATGCAAATAATTACATCAGCTTGGTACAACAAAGCGATAATCATTATTCTGTAAAATTAAGTAAATTACCATGAACAATTCAATTAGATTAAAGTGCAAGTGCATTGTTTAACAATGAAAACTTGTCTTTAAAAAGAACCCGGCGTTCTTGAATGCATCCAAATCAAGGGCATGTATGCAATGAAATCAACTTTGTGCGCGTATGTACATTACTTTATTGATTTTGACAATGTATCTAAGTGGGGATATTTGCGATAAAACTTGTTTTATGCAGAAATTTCACAGCTGAAAAAACGTTGCATAGGTACATACAAAAATGGCATATTTTGTTGCAGTCATCTCTTTTCGTCAAGGTTATTTAAATACTTAATAACTGCAGTGTACTTTAATGCACACTACCAATTATCTGTTTATCTTGTTCTAGGAATATAAATTAAATTAGTGGTCAAATATTTTTATGAATGATAATTTGTTTTGTACGTTATTATGTAACGACACATGTGACTGTTAATTTTTCCCAACGAAAATTTTACGAACTGATGCAGTTGGGAAAAACAGAATGATCCATTGAATAACTATTTGTTGTGTAGAGATATGCATAATTATGATTGACGTAAGTCGTAAGTCTTTGTTTTGACATATACATGAACATTAAGGGCCGGTTGCATAAACGCAAATCAAATTTAATCGCTGATTAACTCCATAGTAACGATTGTTATTATCATAGTTACAATTGTTCTTAATCAGAGATTAAATTTGATTTGCGTTTATGCAACCGGCCCTAATATTTTCAACAGTAGTACCAAGTGCATGTAAAACAACCAACATTTTTTTTTTTAATTATCTTTCCACGAAGTAATTCTCATAAGGAAAATAACATTAACGAGGATTCGGCCAGCTAATTTTGTTATGCAAAATATTGCAATGAATCTGTTTGTCTTGTCCAACTGATTAACATCAATTTATATATGAAGATTTATCGTTGAAACCACATTATAAAGATTAACAAACGGTAGAGCGGAATTTTTGGGTTTAGAATAGAACATAAAGTAAAACTGATTACGACGTCAACTGATGGAGTAATAAATGTCATTGTTTTTATTTATTACTTATTAATTAATGTTAACATCGCCATTTGACATAACTGCGAATTGCTATCTTCAATGAATATATTAAAAACTAAAAAAAAAAACTGCAGTTGCAACATAGCTAAAATTGACACTCATCGTTTCCGAAAAATGTAATAATCTGAAGATGGAAAAAAAAAACAATTCTTTAATCACCAAATTCGTGTTTCGCTTGATTATAATTTGGCATCGCCGCACTTACGAGTACAAAATACTTGGCATTTACAACGAAAACCGCAGGTGTTAATACAGTCTTCTTTTTAGAGTGTGTTGAAAATAAATAAATTACATTTATATTATACAGCAGTTTTAGCATGTAATTAATGCAAAGTGGAAAATTCTGATTTAATATAAAACATAAGAACTAATTGAAAACGGCAACAATGTTGACGGTGACACGGTGTTGCGTTTTTTTGACACGCAATGAAAGAAATTAGTCTCAGTCGATAAAAACGACCATTTCGAAACTGTAATTTAATAAAAAGCTTAATAAAGTTTGCATTTTATGCAATCGCTACTCTGAGTCTGCGTAAAGTAATATCAATGTCAGTGTTAAATTTGTCAAATCTTAGGAATCTTATGATAATATATGGTGTGTTTTTCCTGGTGATTATAGATCATTTCCCACTGGTTTTTACGGTATTTATTATTTCCTGTGCAAGATAATATTTTACTTTGGATCGAATTCCTTATTCAGAAATCATGTACACAATATAAATTTTAATATCCGAATGGTATTGGTCAATAGTAAATTATGTTTACATTTAAAATTTTAAACAAGCATCCAGCTAAAAAGGAGTAACATTGCAAATACAGACGTTCTCATTTCATTTAACCTAAATATTTTACAAACGATGCATGTATCATTTCTCAGCTCAAAATAAAACAACAATTTAGGGTATTTTGGATCATTTTCTAGCCAACAAGGTACTATAAATGTATTATCAGCATGCCGAATATTCGGATTCTAAATACATAAATAGATGGACAAGTATCGTAAGAAGCAATGAATTCATCCATAAAGTTGATATATTTATTGGGCTGTAAATCATTATTTATAATCATGACGCTATCATTATATTATTTCAGATCAAAACTGCAATATTTGTATTTCGTCATACTACAATTATAGGATCCGATACGCCAAGCTTGAGTTATGGAAGGCGGCAATACAATAATCAATAAAAGTGTAAAGTTATTAAATCCACTGCACATTTATGTTCTTGAAATTAACCAAATGCACAAGAAACCTAGGCTATTGTTGAAGTAAAAGTCAATATTTGTGAATTATGATAGATTCATAAATTAGTTAAGCATGCATGTTAATGGCTTAAATACTCTATGTGGGTTGGAACAAGAATAGCAATTAATAAGTTATCGATTCCGCACAGCTCATACATCATGTATAGACAATGACTTTCTAGCATCTTTTTTCTTTAGAAATCAAGAGTAAATTTAAAAACGTTATTGTTAGTTTTTTATTTTCGATGGACCAGAAAGTATGTATGTATGTATACAGGGTGTCTCAGAAATAAGTACATTAATTTTAACCAGTTATAGAGCTCATTGAACTCAACAACTTTTTTTAGTAGAGTTTTGTCAAGAACTTTTTAATTATCAAGTTAAAAATTGTTAAAGTTATACCCCAATTAAGGTTACCCGCCCATGGATCCTCAGTTACCCATGGACACTAATAATTATTATAATTAATAATTTATGGTCAAAAACAGTTACTAGGATACGTATTTTCCTAATCTTGTCAATGTGACAAACATTTAGAGAGAAATTGAAAATCCTGCTCCCTAATGGCGTACGGAATTTCATCGGCCCAAATGTGGGTGTTGAACACCTTCCCTCGTGTAACCGACCTCATCAGTTGATGGTATAAGTGATACAAAATTTGCTTGTTCGTTTATTTTTCTATTAACCCACTCACAAAAGTTTTGCCTACGTGGTAAGTCTTTTAGTTTCAATAACTGAACTTTCTGGTCCTGAAAGGGGTACATTTGTTCTCTGAGTATCCTCCAAATACTACTCTCCGAAACCTCACACTAGACAGTGTTGCATGCTAGTGCCCGGTCGAGCTACGACACTCTTCAAAACAGCCTCTTCAATATTAGCAATTCTATTACTACGTAACTTACCCCGATCAAGAGGTGCCGGATTAAAAGATCCGTACTCTCGAAAATGCTGCAACGTTCTTAAAACTGCGCACATTTGGCAGACGATTTGGGAGGTTTTCTGAAAAAATTCGTTGGGCGCGAGCGCCGTTTCCCCAAGCTTCACCGTACGTTAAAACGATATCGGTGCATTCCAGATTTGAAAACAAAGCCATTTCAACACATTTCGTCTATAAATTAGAAATCTGTGCCAAACAAACTTTAAAGAGACAACGTTTAATAAAAACATTGACATAAAAATGATTGTCAGTGTCAAAACGGTTGCTACGGTACCTTCTTCATTGTTGTAGTGTTGCTATTATTTAAGTTATTATTTAAGGTGAACATAGACGGCTCGTGAATATATGGGTGGGAAAATTCGAAATTCGACTTGAGTTTTCGAAAAAATGCTAGATAAAAAAGTTGTTCCGTTTCACGAGTTCTATTACTGGTTAAAATTAATGTACTTATTTCTGAGACACCCTGTATAATCGTTATACACATGAAATTCAAAATTATACTTAATCTACAGCATCTGCTTACTATTGATATAGTGGTAAAAATTACAATTAATGAATTTAAGTAGTAGTTAATTACAAAATTATCTTCATTTTAAGATTAAAATATGCTTTTATAAATGAAAATTGTTATCAGCAAATGTTTATATTTTGTATCTTTTAGTAACACTTATTTTCTTAATTACGCCTGACAACTTTCAGTTCATAAGCATTTTACAGCGGATCCCTCATAAATCCAATAAATATAAGCAGTGGCACGTTATACTGAGTGTCTGGAAAATAGCGGATTAACTCTTCAGTACATTATGTACGGGGGTTTCGGGAGTCCCAAAAAAAAACACGTAATTTTATAAAAGTAAAATTGCACGCACCTAATGCGTGAATACCTCTGGATTACTTTCTGATTTCTTAGCAATGATGGTGACTGAAATCCACCTTTTATTTTTTTAGGACCATAAACATAACAACCAGTAGTCCGTCATTAAACGTTGTGCATTATTATTGATAAAACAAGCTGTTATTTTTCCTTAATAAATAAAGCAAAAACAAAACATTTAATAAGACACTTATAAATTATAAACAAAAACAAAACCAACAAAAGAAAAATCCATTAAAGCATAACTAACTAAACACTAGAGAAGATGTTCAAAATTCCTGCCTTGTGTCAGTCATCAGTACTTGCTAAGATAAAACTGATTTTGACAAATGACATACCCTCTAAGAGAGGGTGGGTGGGCGGGCCTAGTACCTGCTAAAATATGATCGATTTTGGCAAATGAGATACTCTCTAAGAAAAAAGAGGGCGGGTGGACGGGGCTAGTACCTGCGAAGATAAGACTGATTTTGGCAAATGAGATCCCTCTAAGAAAATAGAGGGCCGGTGGGCGGGGTTAGTACCTGCCAAGATAAGAGTGATTTTGGCAAATGAGATTTCCTCAAAGACAAGAGAGGGCGGGTGGGTGGATCTAGTACTTGTTAAGATAAGACTGATTTTAGTAATAACGTATCCTCTAAGAAATGTAATTAAATTGTCATAAGAAAAGACACTAGAGGCTCCAAAGCACTTTCGAAGTCTTTCCAAACCGGAATACCTATAACCTCAAGATTGTTTTAAATTTTTCAAAAAAAATGTGGTCCCAAAATTAACTCAAAAATAGGTCAGGGGTCTGTTGCACAATACTTACAAGTCTAATAATATTATTAGACTTGTATTAGTCTTGTGAATTGTAATTTGTGTATATTTATTGCACAAATTACAAGTTATACAAACTAATATTATTAGACTTATAAGTATTGTGCAACAGACCCCAGGTCAGAATTTTCCAAAAATAGAACACCAAAGTCTCCCAAAATTGTTTTAAATAATTTTCAAAAAAAAAATTCCATGGGCTCTCAAAAATTATTTATACATCATGGGTATCCAAGAGTGGCCCGAAGTAAAAAAAAAACACTGCGACACTCAAGACTTTTTCAAATTTGTAAAAAATACTAAAAGCTCAAAAGATTTTTTCAAGTTCATCCAGCAATAAAACACCAGTTTCCTTTAAATTTAACCAAACATAAAACACCAGGGGACCTAAAATTAACTGCGAACATTTTAAACGTAGGGTTTTGAAAACTTTGACAATTTTTGATACGTCAAACATTTTTAACTGCTTACTCGATTTTTGCTAATACACTAAAACAACACAACCTTATTTTTGTATCTACAAATATATTCATATATATAACTGAAATTGTAATTTAATTAAACATGGTCTTAGGCTAGAAAAATATTAACTAAAAGTTTTATTATTAGTTATTGTGATAATGAATGTGTTGTTTAGTTGTTAAACGTAGCAAAAGAACCAATTTTAAAATCATAACTTCACTAAAAGGCGAAAAGGTCTTCCCGCGCATACGGATTTATTACCCCCGCGGAACTAAGGATTAACAAAAAATAATCCAATGGATTCAGGATTCGGTACTTCTTACTTTATTATAATATACATACAACTGAGGTATTAAGATACTAGTCTAAAATTTGTTACTGTGTCTCTTATTATTATTTGTTTCGCTAGGAGTGTCTTTTCATGTTTATGCCAAATACTATGAAGACCACAGTTAAATGGTTTCAAAATATGTATATGTATACAAAGATTTCAAAATCGCAAAATAATTTTATACCGAGAGAAAAAATAAATTAGTATCACATTTCGTGGTTTTATCAAATTTAATTGGCAGTATTTTTGCTATTTGAAACAGCGTTCAATGCTACGTAAGTACTGTTGATAAAATAGGAGCTCACACCTACTACAACCAACAAAAAGAAAAAAAAAAAAAACACAATCTAACACAGTTGAACTAATTATCAGCTCTGAACATAATTAAGGAATAAAGCTAGTCACCGACAAATTGTTATTGTAATAAAACAACAATCTACTTAAGTTATGTGATAAGCAGGCATTTACATTATACAAATAAAAAAATATTGATGAAAGTAAATTATGTACCGTTACCACAGAATGCACCACTATGTATTTAATACAGGATATGGAAAATTAGAGCAGTGCATGAGAGAAATTTCCAATGGATTTAAAAGTTCATTTATAAAAATTATTTACTTACAAGATATTTTACTCTTCCATGTTACTGTACAAAACTAAAATTATTCATTGATAACGTGTAAATGATATTTTTTTTACCAATAATTTACTTTTATTTATGAGCTATTACTTAACAATGTTCGTTGTAAATCTAACACTTCCGTGATTTTCATTCAGTTTGTATTCCTAACACTTATAAAACCGTATGAGGTGTGTCAGTTGGCCATCTGATAGACTTAAACATGTTTAACAATCATTATAAAACGCAAACACCACCCGATTTTAACATCACCGCCTGAATAAACAAAAAAAGAAACTGCGCATGTGCAGAGATTCCAAAGCCCGCGAAAATCTCACTGGAACTTGTTTACTTTCTAGATAACTCTCGTATATCGCTCATTTTTGAATCGAAATTAAAATCTAAATTTTAAAACTTAAATAACTTCTATCAATTATTCTGCACCTAAGAGAGGTTGTTGGCAAAAAACACCTCGTCATTTCAAAGTCGGCTTGCAAGTAACCTTTCATAACGCAAACAAATCCACATACTTCTCGGGTCACAGTCTTGCAATTAAGAAACTTGTACGTAATGCATACTTCAAACCTTTTACAGCATAATTCCCAATAAAATAGTAATTTGCACTCTGGATCTCCTTTTAAGATATATAATTTCTTGCGAATTGATTGTTGTTGTTTATGCATATTTGTAACAACAATACCGACTTGTGTGGTCTCGATAAACAAAGTTAAATCTTATTGTTATGACAGCAATGGTTAGTAGGAGGGTGTCAAGGGAACGTTTACCTCTCACCAAGCATAGAAAGTGATCAAGTTGCATAATTTTTGTGTATCACAGAAAGTGGGATTTTCACACTATGTTATAAACACTTTACAAAACGCATATTAATCACCACCACTAGCTGAGTAACAGTAGCATTACTTAAGCAATGTTCCCATTAGTCAGGCAACGATAATATGATTGGAGCACGATCATTCCTTCTTAAGACTCATAATTAATGATCACCTGTCGCCAGTCCTAATGTGTAAATAATGAGTATCGGTTGTCGTGGACAATGAAATCACCACCTCGGCGTTCCTTTAAAAACCGGCGCCGCAAAAGTCTTTAACACGACTTATCTAATCTATAAATATTTCGCATTTTGTGGAAACAATACTGCGAACGAAATTTTGCGTACGTGACCGTCCGCATGCCGCGACCTGTGTTATTTTAAAGAGACGGAATTCCCACGTGCTCCACGAGCTAGAAAGAGATAACAGGATTCTATGTTTACTTTCCGCGACAGTAGATTTGTTTATAAACATAATAGCGACATCGCGTAGGATCGATAATAAGGGATAAATGAATGAAAAGTTATTACTTGCGCCCACTTCCTATTAAACAGACTCTGAAGTGGTTCAAACTGGAGCCTTCCAAACTAACCTTAGTCCTGCTATCGATGTTGTACATCCCTAACTTGCCGCTACTCGCCATTGCCATTTTATTAGCCCTGACTACCACAGCATCGACTTGACTAATTAGTTGTTTGATATTATTACAATACTTTTCAGTCCCGTTAATCCAGGTGATCCTGTCGCCCCGAATAGTCTTCAAGTCACCAGACCCCTTCCTAGAAACCAACTGTCCATCTTTGAAAACACCCTTCGTGTTGTACATCCCTAGAACCTCCCCCAGCACAGCTTTACCCTTTTCCTCCCCTAGGAAATTATCAACAACACAAACTCCATACGCGTCCATATCTTGCACTAGATTCTGGCAGATCTCGTCGAGATCTTTCCTTTGTTCGAACACATTACTCCAAGAACTATGCTGCAGGGAAATGTCCGAATCTTTAACTCCGGAGTTCTTGGGGTGGACGATGTTTTCTCCGCTGATGGGCATTGCGGTTTTCGCGGACTTCAGAACCTTTTCCGTCGAGGTCTTGTCGAAGTCTAGATGGGGGCTCAGTTCCTGCGGCAAAGAGTTGAGGATATCGCTTTCGCTGCTGCCTTCTGCGGGCATGGAGTTTTTTTCTAGGGTTAGGGCTAGTTTGGCGCACTCTTTGCGGTGCTCTTTCCAGTCCTTCTTCTGGTGCTCGCGTGAACAGTAAAATTTTGATTTACAACGTGAACAACGTAACAACTTTTTTGTCGATCCGCACACCGAACAACTTGAATTCGCACTCATCCTAATCACCGGATCGACAGACAGCCGCCATGATTTTCGTCGCGATTTCACCTTGAGGATTCTTCACGGCAGGGGGCGGCACCTACCAACAGCTGATGGTGATGAGTCGAAGAGAGTTGAGTAAGTTGAGTTAATGCACGTTTGCTAATGTTACAACTACTACAACAAATTCACTGAAGTTATAGAACTGCTGAAGTCGTCGAAGATTCGAACATAAAAATGTGTTGTTGAATGTAGTGGTATACTGTGTGGGGGTGCACAGAAATCAGAAAAAATTCTCCCAGTTACTGGATTACTGCACACAATTGTAAAGTGATTTCGCTACTTCTGGTTGCACCATTGGCTAACAATTATGGTTTATTTGTTTGTGGAGTTTTTGAAAAATTTCTGTTGTACTGCCAAGGGTTATAATATAAAAAAATAATTTTGTGGACATATGGCTGACATGCACAGTAAACAGCGTAAAGAGAGGTTATATTGGTTGCCTAGAGATCGCGGATGGCGAGTCTACAGATAGACGGCACTTTTTACTTCCTAAGCGTAGACTGCCTGTCTGTGGTCTCTATCAATTTTAATCTCCAAAACTACAGGACCGCTTGTTGTTAAATTTTGTATCTATATTAGGAATACATGTAGATGGTAAAACGTTGACCAAAATTTGACAAATCATCCCCACCACCGATGAGACGACGTTATCTCCAAAATTTGCAATATATTTTTTTTTAATTTTATAAAATAAGATACTCCTGCACATGTGATGTATGCATGCGTGTTGAGTTTTCACCGTAGCCAACTAGATTTTTGGAAAAAATCAAAATTGTATAACATTTTGCAATTTAATTTAACTTAGAAAGTGCAAAAGCGAATGGTCTGAAATCTTGCGAACGTTTCAAGGTTATCGAAATCGTGGTAAATCGCTAATCAAAATTTATTCGCTTATCCCCTCCACAAAAATTGAGACGTCATCTCAAAATTTTGCCTAATAAATCCACTTGTAGTTTATCAATGCACTCATAGTTTCTAGAATTACTTATACAGGGTGACTCAAAAACATTAGTGAATGAGGCAATTTATTTTAATAATTAAATCAAAAGCGACTCCATTTTTCGGAAAATTTGAAAATTAAGTACTGTTATTATTTGTAGTTCACTGCATCCATTCAAATTGATATACGTGTCTTTGCAAAAATGTTGATGACCGATGACGTCTTCACAAAATTTTGTAATGGAAAAACTCACTTAAAACAAACGCTGAGCATGCTTCTCTACATCTTAAACATTACATATACCGGGTGTCTGGAAAATGGCGTATTAACTCTTACTTGCGTACGTTATGTACGGGTGTTTCGGGAGTCCCAAAAAATAATAAAAAAATTCTTTATAATGTAGATTACGAAAAAGACGTAAATTTATAAAATGCGGCTTACTTTCTGATTTCTTAGTAACGAGTAGTCATTACTTGTGCAATATTATTAATACAACAATCTGTTATTTTTCTTTAATAAATAAAAAAAACATTTAATAAGACATTTATAAATCATAAACAAAAACAAAATCAACAAAAGAAAAATCCATTAAAGCGTAACCAACCAAACACTAGAGAAGATGTTCAAAATTCCTGCTTGTGCATACATATCAACAAGCTCGTAATGTTTCCAAATTTTGATCATTTTTCGTAAAAGTTACTCATCAGTACTTGCTAAGATAAAACTGATTTTGGCAATGATATACCCTCTAAGAAAAGAGAGGGTCGGTGTGCGGGGCTAGTAGCTACCAAGGAAAGACTGATTAATTTGGCAAATGTGATACCCTCTAAGAGAAGAGAGGGCGGGTGGGCGGGGTTAGTACCTGATAAGATAAAACTGATTTTGGCAAATGACCCTACCCTCTAAGGAAAGAGAGGGTGGGTGGGCGGGCTAAAATAAGATCAATTTTGGTTAATGACATACCCTACAATCTGGATTTATTTACGCTATCGTATTTTCTTCGATTTTACAATTTTTTGATATCACAATTTTTCGTTTTTTCGTTTTCTTCCATTTTTTGATTTTGGATTTCATTAGTTTGCGTTTTTTCAACATTGATTTTTTCAATTTATTATTTTCCGGAGCTCCAAGTTTTTCAATTTTTCGTTTCTTCAGTTTTTCGATTTGCAATTTTTCGATATTACAATTTTTCTATTTTTCAGTTTTCCAATTTTTAATTTTTCTATTTTTGACAATTTTTCATTTTCTCAGTTTTTAAGTTCTTGATTTTTATTTTTCATTTTCCGAATTTTTTAATTTTCATTTTCTCGATTTTATATCATAGTGTTTCGTTTTTCATTTCTTTAATTTTTTTTAATGTTTCTTTCGATTTTATAATTTTTCGTTTCAAGTTTGCAATTTTTCTGTTATCCGATTTTCCGGTTTCTTTAATTTTCAATATTTCGATTTTACAATACATATTTCGTTTTGCGATTTTAAAATTTCTCTATCGGTTTTTGAATTTTTTATTTCTTCAATTTTTCGAGTTTTCAAAGTTTTCATTTTATACTTTTTCATTTTTAATTTTTCAGTGTGACAATTTTTCCATTTAGTTAGAAACTACAAATTGAAACGTTGAAAAACTAAAAATTGAGAAATTTAAAAATCGAAAAAAATTAATGAATCGAAAATTTTGAAAATAGGAATTGAATATCGGAAAATTATAGAATCGTCAAAATTGTAAAGTCGAAAAACTAACACTGAAACATCAAAAAATTGAAAAACTAAATATCGAGACTGAAAAATCGATAAAATGAAAAAATTTAAAAATCCAGTAATTGAAAAATACAAAAATGCTTAAAATCACAAAATTTAAAAAGTGAACTATTTTTAAAATTATTATTATTATTATTACATATTTAAAACGAACACTAGAAAAATTCCAAAAATCATGAAACCGAAAAATCTAATAAAATTGAAGAAAGGAAAAATTAAAAAATCTAAAAATTGCAAATCGAAAAATTTTAAAAAATTCTTATTAAAAAAAATCATAAAATCAGAACACTGAGAACCCGAAAAATTGAAAAAACAAAGAAACTAAAAAACCGAAACGACAAATTGCAAATCGAAAAATTGAAGACATGAAAAATTGAAAAAGTAAAAATCGAACACTCGTGAATTGCAAATCTAAAAACTAGAAAATCCAAAAGTTGGAAAATCGAAAAACTGAAAAATTTAAAAATCGCAGATGGCAAAAATTGAAAAAACAAAAAATTAAAAAAATCGAAAAATTGTAAAAATAAAGAGATTAAAAAACCGTAAAATTAGAAATTGAAAAAACCAAAAAATTATAAAGTCGAATAATTAATTGAAAAAATTAAGAAAATTAACCAAGAAAAAATTGCAAAACCTAAAAATTGAAAAATTCAAAAGTTGGAAACCCGAAAATCTGAAAATTTTAAACTTAAAGATTCAACTAATTGCAAATCAAAAACTGAAGAAACAAAAAAAAATGGAAAATTGAAGGTTCATGGAGGTTATCAGAACAAAAAACACGAACAATTTTTGTAATTTTTCAAGGATTTCTAGATTTCTTGAACCATACTTCACGGGCGAGGGAAGTTCTGTCGAAATAACGTTCGACCAATTTCTTTTTAAACTGGTCTTCAAAACTCGCAATAATTCAGAAATTATATCAAAGCTCAGACTATAAATGAAAAAAAAAAGAATGGAGTCTAAAAATGACAGACGGAAACGAAAAACCCACAATTTCGTATTCCACAACCTTTTGTAACTACATACTACATCATATAGAGGCTATAGTGTACAGGGTATTTCAGTGAAAAAAAGCCACTCAAAACTGTTGCTTAATTTTGAGAACCATGGAAGTTAAAAAAACATACACCAATGAATTTAGTTCCACTTTTTTTAATCTCGAAAACTCTGTGAAAACAACTGACTATCTTCATAACAACTGCTAAATGTTTTTTGTAGTTTTGATTTCCAAACGGACTTATGTCCCGAAATTATGTGCCTGAGAGGTTTCTCCACATGTACTATATTAGGTCCCAAAACTTCAACCACCTTCATCAATAATTTACCAAAATTCTTGTCCTTATCACGATCTTCCGCAATAGTTGACAGCATTTCAACAAATTTGTTCAGAGCTTCATATTCAACCTCATGATTGAGTAAAGTTCCTACTATCACTAAACAATTCTCATCCAGTTTTTCAACAGCAAGTATAAAATTTCTGGAAATTCGTTTTGCTAAAATGTGGGTTTACACATATTTTAAATACACACCTCACTAACGTAGCTTGGAACCTTGAATTTAGCTTTTTCATGTATTCTAAAAAAATTGCGATTTCGTCTTGAGATAAAGTTTTAAGAACCACGAGACATTCTTCTTCCAACACTGATGAATAATTTTGACTAAATTGTTCTAACAATATTAGTAATTTATCGCAAAACTCTTTCCTTATCTAAAATAAAAAAATCTGAAATTATTGTATACCTAGATTTATGAGGATTATTTAAACATAAGAAACCTGAAAAAAATTTAAAGCAACCATAAACATATATTTATTATTATTACTACTAGCTATAAAAGAATAAATAATCCATAAATAATAAATAGATTGAAAGATTTATGTATTACTGGTTGCGTTCAAAACTGTTTCAAGTTCATGATAAAATAATAAAGTAACAAATTACTTTTGGCATTAATAAATGATGACACAGAGGAATTACTAAAAGATTTGTAATTATGCCCTGCAAAGCAACTCCAAAATAATAAACTTCTTCATTAGTTAAAGTTTGATCCAACAGTTTAAACAGCAAGTCTAAATCATTGCTACAACACTTCCCAATATATTCTTTAGCTGTGTCTGACACGTCATTCTGCGTTTGCAGATTTTCTTTAATAACCAAAACTATATCACTTATGGAAGATTCACTACTGACACTTAAATTTATTTCTCCTTCATTTTCACTCTGTAATGGTACATCCGGTACATCTACATCTTGTGGTTGTGGTTCTTCATCAGAACACAAATCAATTATGGCCACTGGTGGAGTTTGAAATTCATTAACTTGTTTAATTAACGTCGGATCCTAAAGAACTCTTATTAAGGACTACATTAGCGCAATAACTGACAGCACTTACCAGTGGTAATAATTTTTTCCATACTTCGTAACTCTCCAAATTACAATTCTTGTGTGATTTTTGCTCTGTTGCAATTTTTAGAAACTGTAATAACTGTGGTTCTGCTTCTTTAGAAAATTTGTAACGCGGTAAATTCATTATGGGTGTTATTTAATTAACAATTTTCAAAACAAATGATGACATATGTCATATTTGACGTACATCATACGTCAACAATGTCAAACCTGCCACAACAACTAACTCTAACCTCAAAATGTCAGACGATGCTGTCTTCGAATTTCTACATTCCGAACTTATAAATTACATAATAAGTCAAAATGAAGGCAAAAGTAAAGAAGGAAAGGTAACAGTATCACGACTGCTAAAATCGATGATCATTTAGTTGTTCGTAGGATGAAGATTTATCCAACATCGAGTACATTGGGTTTTCAACAGGGTACAGGATAATAGAGAGGTACATATGAAATAACTGCGTGCGCTATAACATTCTAACGTTACAATTTGATTAGGTTAACAAAGGAGATGCCTCGCTTTAAAGACGAGCTTGATACGATGAAATTTATTTGCACTGATTTTTGGTCTGCTCTTTACAAAAAGCAGATTGATAATTTAAGAACAAATCACCAAGGGGTTTACGTGTTACAAGACAATAGCTTCAGGTTTCTAACAAAATTGTCAAGTGGGAAACAGTACTTAGAAGTAGCCCCCAGGTTTGTGGCGTTCACGTGTGGGATTATTAGAGGTAGCTTAGCAAATCTAGGGATTGGATGTCTGGTTACAGCTGAAGTGCAGAATATGCCCTCATGTAAATTTCATATACAAGTGCAAAGGACATAATTAGGGAAAAATAAATGTTTTCAATTTTATATAAAATGTATTTTTTGTTTATTTATTCATTTGCGTTTATCAGACACGTACTGTAACAGATCAACTGCTGTTATTATTCCAACAGGCTTTTCTATTGTTGATTGTTCTGTAGCTGAAATAAATATATTAATAAGTGATTATTTAATAACTGTATTGAGTTACTTTGTTTCTCCAGAACTATGAGATAATTTTCGCGTTCCAAAATTCTTGAAACCAGACCTAAGTTGGCAGTGATCATAACTTTAGGGAAGACAGTAACAGAAGCACGTTCTATTGAATCGCTGGGTTTAGCGTTACCACTGATGAGCACATTTAGTAGTTTTTGCATGGTCACAACACTCAAGATACCGCTGAAAAATTTAATTGATTTTATGGTAACTAGAAATTCGTAAGATTTACCCATTTTTATCTACTATGGGAACTTGGTCAAAACCTTGCTTTTTCATTATATGGAGAATTCTTTCACACGGCATACTCACAGTGGCTGTCACTAGGGGTTCAAAATTCAACATAGACACACTGTCATCCCACCACCTATAAAAGTTTCCATTAAATTAATTTATCAAACTAACCGTTAATAAAAAAATTATCACTTAAGTAAAATAAAATATATACCAGTGGTTGTTAACATTAACGCATTCTTTGAACCCTTTAGCTTCCATCCAGTGATCTGACACAAATTTCGTGAGATAATTTCTGATGCTGTCAGGAATAATAACAACGACTCTTTGCCCTTTTTTGTAGTTGCGGGCTGCTTTTATCGCAGCGACCATAACAGCACCAGCACTGCCACCTATAATCCAAATATGGTAAATATTAAATTAAAAAGTAGACAAGAAGAATTTACCGCACAATAATCCCTCCTCTTTTATAAGTCTTCTAGCCATGGTTAGTGATTCCTGATCAGCAACCTTCACCCACTTATCAACAATAGTGCGATCAAACCCTGTTGGGATAAAATCGTAACCTATACCCTCCACCTCATAAAAGTCCACATCAGTCTCATTCATCTTTTCTGGTTGCGCTAGAATTGATCCATATGGGTCAGATCCAACGATCACCGTGTTTGGAGACACTTCTTTGAATTTTTTGCCGATACCGGTAATGGTACCGCCTGTTCCAGCTCCAACAACCTAGAATCAACATTGTAAAAAATACAGACACCTGTAAACACAATAACGTACAATCATGTCGACTTGTCCGTCACACTGGTCCAAAATTTCTTCCGCTGTGGTGTCATAGTGCGCCAAGGGATTCCCCGGGTTGCTGTACTATTACAAAACCTATATATTTCACCTTTTCTTTTTTTTGGTTTCTTACCTGATCCAAAATAATCGAATTCGGGATTTCTTTCTTGAGCTTGTAACTGACTCCGAATAATCCATCTGGAGAATTCGAGTCGGCTGTGATGGGCGTGCGCACAATTTCAGCCCCAAGTGCTTTCAAAACATCAACTTTTTCATTGGACATTTTTTCAGACATTACTATAACACAGCGATATCCCTTAACCGCTGCGGCTAAAGCTAATCCTATTCCAGTATTTCCGGAAGTGGGTTCGATGATGGTAGAATCCGGTGTTAAGAGACCGGCTTTTTCAGCATCTTCCACCATGCGAAATCCAATACGGTCTTTTACCGAACCTCCAGGGTTGAAAAATTCGCACTTGGCAACTATGTGGAAGAAGGAAATTGTGAATGTATGCAAACTATCAAGTGATGCGTTCACTATAAGCGATGAATTTTTAAATACCTACAATCTTGTTTTTTTTTTTTTGATTCTATAAATGCTAATAATCTTATGAAGTATTGTTATGTTTTCCTTTTAATAACGACTCTTATATAAGATAAGATTTTTAAATGAACTTTTAAACACGATATGGTTTACTAGTGTCACATTCAAGTGTAAAATAAACAAATTCGTCATTTATGTTTGTTTAGTTTTCAAATCACATCTATCTTACTAGTTTTTTATGTAAAAATCTTGCTACTTCACATTGATACAACATTAAATGACAACTTTGACGTTAAAATTATTCATAATTGTCAATTTCTGTTAATTTTTCTCACGGCTTTTTCTGACAGTTGCTTTATACGCTGATTTTTCAAAAAGTACCAACATAATTTCGTTTGACATTAACAAATGTAAATGCTAACACGTATTTAGCACAAGATTCAATTTTTAGTCTTAAACGAACTCTTGTTAAAATTAATTGTCTGTCAATGTATGATTTATATGTAATTGATAGCACTTCTCAAACATTATTTTTAAGTGACCACCTTTTGACCCTATTATATCTAAAAAAAATGACACAGCCGACAGACAGACAGACAGACGGAAACGGGAAACCACTTTTTTCGTGTTCTAGGGGTCGTGGAACGTCGAGAAAACAGGAAAGTTGCACATCTCCCGATGGACTCGATTACAAAAAGTTTAAATATCGTATGCTAATACATCTTAAAATTGTTTTGTATTTTTTTTAGCAACCTCTGATAACTACAGCACACCTTTTTAGTATAATTAATATTTAAACCTCAATGTGGTTACAATAAACTGGCTAAAAAATACTCTTATCTTATCAATGTACACAAAAACCGCAAATTTCCGGTTATATGCGTAAAAAATCACGACATTGGACTTTTACGTTAATCTCATAATCAATAATTAGTTACTACATTTGACTTTTGACATTTAATTTAGAAAATAAAACGATAATTAATTTTAAACGCACTACACGAGGTTGATGCATTAAGTTGACGTAAGTTTTAGCATCTTGTGCTTCTTGTGGAATTTTGGCGCATTTTCTTTATCAAAAAATTTAAATTCGAACGAAATGTCTTTATCAGAACGAACTATGTATTTTCAAAACTAGAAGTACACTGACTTTAAAAATTAAACACGTGTCTAAAAATATAATATATATACAAGTAGGTATATATAGTGCAACTTGCGTTTAATTTTTTTTTAACGTAACTACTGGAATCTGTCTGTAAATTAATAAATAATTCAAAGAAGAGAGAAGTAAGTTTAATTAATTTAAAGTAGACTTTTGTTCTTTAAAACAGGACCAGATATTCAAAATATGACCAACTATATGTAGTAGTCTCAATTATTTATTACTCCTTATACTATTTTCTAATATACTTACACACATCACATTCCAATCCACAACTCTTCGGAATCTTAGTAAGCCTCACAAGGGGAGTATTCCCTACAGCCTTTGTAATATCAGGCAAAATTTTATCTGTCACCTTCCTGCAAAATAAAAAACACAATCATGACCATTTGCAATTTTTCACCCCATACCAATCAGCCCTTCGATGTGGAGACGCCTCCGGTAATGCATTTTTGTGCCACGTGCACTTTTTAGGTGCCTGATCAGGGGTAGAAAAATGGTCGTTGAGGGTAGAAACGAACTTCAATTCGGACTTCGTGCACTGGAGCTTTTTACTTTGTCCATTTATCACTTCAGCCATTGTTGATTGGTCTGTACTTCTTGGAGTTCCAGTAAAACACAGGTTTAGGTTAGGGTGAGACTGAGTTATTGCTTTTGTGACGAACGACTGTGTAGTGTAGTCTGTAAATTATTACGTCAATGGAATTCCAGCAGCGCAAGTGAACTATTGGTGAAGTGCAGCTGCGAATCTCGGCAAAGCGTGCTTGGTTAACTACCTGTTGGATACTGGTTTACACCTGTTGTGGTAATATTTTTTTTTTGGTCGGGATATTGTCGGCTCTCGAAGTAAACTGTAGGATAGGGCAAGAAACAGCGCGTTCAAGAGATAAAATGATGGCAATTATCGTTAAGACGCGATATTTTTTATTCAGGGTCATGCGAGATTGCTAAACGCGGATTTATTTATTTTAGTCTGGAAATAACATCGATTGCAGTGATTTACTTAAATTGGGTTATCAGTTATTTGCCATAATTTTATCTTTAAAAAGATAAAAATATTATTTAAATCAAGGGATAAATCATTTGTGGATTTTTTATTGTGAACTAAGTTAAGACTACGTATGTTCAGTAATAGTATAATCGAATATAGAGGGTGGTAATTTTTTTTGCCGTGATCTGTTGAGAGATGTCAGCATTTTTTTTATTTAGTTGGATAAATTGACGATTGCAATTTTTCACTTCGTATTAGGAATGATAGTTTCTTGTATTTTCAAAGATATTCTGAGACATCAGAATTTTGTCGTTTGATTAATTTAAAGATTTTTATTTATTCTTTTATTCAAGACAGTTTAAAGGGTTACTTGTGAGCGAACTCATTTATAAAAAGAGGACGTAAATAATTTGATTGTGCCCCGAAACTGTCTTTTTTTGATACAATTGTGGGGGCTGGCAAGTCCCACAAAATTGTATAGCATTTGTATATTTGTACTTAATCTGTTTTTAATTACTTCCCAGTATCACCCCGAAACTTTCTCTTCGTCCACCTGCATGTCGTAAAACCTATCTTTTGTTCACCCTTCTCAGTAATACGTATCCTTTCCCAGATTTCGAATACCTTCCAAGAACCCACAATTGTTTCCACCGCTTTCTACCGACCTTTCTTTTCATTTCAATTTCACAAACTCCAAGACTCTTCCTATATCTGCCCTACCGACAACATCAAAATAAATACGCCAAAACGCAAGTACTGTTTCAATCACCTGATAACCCCACACAATGATTTACATTTTTCACATACAATACATATTTCTAAAAATATAACACACATAAAAAATGTTAAATAAGAATAAGAGCATCTTTTTACTTTCAGAGCGTAAATTCAGTACGAAACAATAGGTCGCCCGTTTTCGTCTGTCTGTTTGTCTGCCGTCTGTCCGGATTTTTATTAGACAGATATTCTCCGAAACTACTGAACCAGTTGTTAAATTTTATATGTGTATTACGAATATCGTGCAGATGACCAAAATTTGGCTAATCGTCCCTACCAAGAATTTGTTAGCGGCATAAATATTAATATCTACTACTGTAAATTTTGGAGATGATTTTATAAAATAAGATACCCCTGCACATGTGGTTATAAACCATTATAAATTACAACAACTTGCAATTAACTTTGAAACTACTCTGAAATTTTGAAACATCAATTAATCAAATTTTCTTCGTTTATGCGCCTCTAAAACAATAATGACATGATTTTAGAAGTTTGTCGATTTAATCCATATTTACCAAATATAATTTTACGTGATTCCAAAAGCACTGTTTATTATTTCAAATCCAATTCTCATCTGAATGACTCAGGTTTAAGGATTGGATTATCGGACATTTTAGATGAAATTTCTAAACTGAAATCACTAGAAAGTAAAATGGTACGTTTCCCTTCACATTTTTTTTTCGTCTATTTTACCTGTTTTTTCATCTATTTTAAGGTACTTTATCATGTTTTTGCATGTCCAATTTTGACGTTGAAATTTTTTATTACTTTTTTATAAAATAAAATAAAAAAGCAATTTTTGTCGTGAAGTTTTTTTAATGCATATTTTTTAACATTTCACCCCACTTTTGAGGTTATTTTTTAAAAAATTGTGGATTTCTAAAGATTTTGACTATGATTCGAGCGGATCCGTATAGAAACCGCAGACTTTGACTTTTTATATAAAAAATAAAAATAAAAAAAAAACACTTCATCGTCAAAATTAGCCTGTTAAAAATGATAAAGCACCTTATAATAAATTAAAAAACAAAATGTGAGCTGAAACGTACCATTTTATTTACTACTAATTTGTCACTTTTTTTGGGTTATATTTAATTTGCATACTCCTGGATGTGTGATTCATGAATCCGTGTCGAGTTTTTACCCTACACATCGAGATTTTTGGGGAAAAATTCAAAATTGTATTTTACAATTTAACATGAAAATTGCAAAAGCGAATGTACTGAAATATTGCAAATTGCAAGAAAATATCAAAACTTGTTCGTTTAAGGCCTTCGCAAAAAATTATGACGTCATCTTAGAATTCTGCCGAACAAAAATGTTCTTTAAATTTTATAAAGTAACATATTCCTACATCCTGCATGTGTTATTTATGAATCCGTGTTGAGTTTATACCCTTAGCATCCAGATGTTCGGAGAAAAATCAATATTGTATGACAATATTTTACAGTGTAACTTTGAAATTGTAAAAACCGAATGCTGTGAAATCCTACAAATATTTTAAGATTATTTGAAACGTGGTAAAAATTTATCCGTCATCTTAAATTTTTGCCGAATTTCTTCAAATTTATGAGTGTTTTTGAGAAAAAACTGAGTATGAACTAATCAATCAGTCCTTTGCTCTGTGTTGAGGACACAAAATCAACCAAATTTCATTTTGTTTTATTCGCTGATGTTTGTGCTAGTAGTCGAGTTCGGTCGAAGTATAAACATAAACAGTCGAAGTTAAGCACATACTGAGAAACTGAAATTTAAAGACGTAAAGGTTGCGGGGATATTAATTACGCCACTTTATAGAGATGTGTGATATCACACTCAAACGTGATAACTGACTTAAGTTATTCCAAAAATTGGTAGTTTTTAAATGTATGTATAAACTATCGAATTTTGATGTAACATTAACAGGATACTTTTTTATCCAATTTCTATATTCTCTTGTTACAGATGAAAATATCCTTGCAAAAGCAGATGTAATCGAAAACTCCGTTGCCACTTACTTAGTTAGCTGTGTGTCTTTATAAATATAAATCCCTCCTCCACACACATAAAAATAAACGCAACAGTCTTATTTAACAGAAAAGAAGACAAATGAGCAGCAAACACCCGATAATGTGTCATTATGAGGAGGCGTCGCAGACTTACATTTTCTTTTTCGGAAAACCATAAAAAACCTTTCTTTCAAATCACCAAAATCCAGTTCATTGTAGTACTGACACTTTTAGTACCACCCACTGCTTGCACAACAGCTGGCATTGTTCTAATAAGATCTCTATGGAATGTTGATACCTCATCATGCACCATTAGTTTTTGAATTTAGTAAAAACTTAGCTTATTATATGACACAGTTTGGCTTGGAAAAATAATTTTCTAGTAATGTCGATGAGGCGTGAATTTTTACGGAAACTACAGGCTTTTTCTTTCCCTCTGTCTTTATTTATTTATTTTTTGAGACATATTTTCAGAAACTAAATAAATACGAAATACGTATGTAGCATAATGTGATTGTTTGTGAATAAATTATAGAAATGCAGTTACGTATTGATATTACAATCTATCTATCCAAATGAATAGACACATACATAATTTACTAACCCAGCAATCAATTTATGTACATTGTAAATTTATTTTCGTTGCGTCTGTTGCAACAATTTATTTTGTTCTTTAATCCTGAAGTTTAGTAATAAATTTCCCAATATCCTGGATAATAGTAACAATATTATTGTTACAACACTCGAACTTTTGATAATGCATTTTATAACTCATTTTTCTGTTTTGTTTAGATAAATTTCACAACACTATGTCGAAAATTATAGGAATTGGATCTTATTTAATTTTAGCGTCTTCTATATGTACACATTTTAAAATTTATTGAATTTGTAGTATATATACCTACCCTTCTATATATATATATATATATTCATCTTCACGTGGTACGATGTATTACCACGTACTGTAGAGTATATGTGTATTTATTAGGGATGTACCGACTGTAGGTTTGGCCGACTAACCGACTAGCCGATTGTTCGGCCAGTAAAAACCGACTAGTCGGCCGACTGTTCGGCTTTGCCAAAACCGGTTTATAAATGCGACAGACAGTGTGTTTTTTTCTTATTTCTCTGACTACCTCAAAGATTTCTTTTATTTTAATAAGAAGAATAACTAAATTTCCTTCGTTTTCCAAAAAATGTGTAAAGTTTGTTTGGATAATTTTAACATTTAATTTTTTTGTAGTAACTCTGTAGAAAAATAAAGAATGACACAATTTAGGGCCAGTTTATATAATATTTTAACTGAGATTAAGTTGATCACGCATTTAACAAGACCATTAGCGACGTCTGATTGGCGTAGAGTCGGTCACGTTGTACTTTAACGCCCTGTTAAAAATTTAATAGCAATTAAAGATTTAATTGAGCTTCTGTAAACTGGGTTTAATTGTGTTCTATACTATTTTCATTTTAATAAAAAAAGCCGACCGATCGGCTGTTTTGCCGACTAGTCGCCGACTGCCAGCCGACGATGAAAAACGGCCGAATAGTCGGCTTATCCGACCGGTCGGCCACTAGTCGGTACATCCCTAGTATTTATTTATTATTTGAAAAGGTTTTTTTCCAAAACTAACCAAGCCCACATTTCATAATTTTGAGATATACTTATGGGCATAATGTCACATTCAAAATAATCTCCAAAACTGTAGTCATTAATAAAAAAAATCCAAAATTTCTGTTTTATTCCAATCATGTATTAGGTTCAATTAAATTTTATTCCAAAACTAATTTAAGTCCACTTCCATATGGACATAATCACATTGTAATTGATAATTACAAAATGTAATGAGTATTATTGGGTCTAATACCTCGGTGAGATCGCAGAGGAAGGGATCACCGAAAATTGTTCATAATTTAACATTACATGTTATGTGTAATAAAAAATATAGGAAAAAAAACCCCTTCATTTATCAAATAACTAGTCGTGTACCTATACAACAAAAATTTTATTCTCATAAATGCAAAACGTTAGGCACTTTCATAACACACTGTGATTACTTCAACGTGGAGTGCACACTTACATTAAAAAATATACACGTTACAACAAAAAGTACATTATAGATTGGAACGCCATGTAGCCAGTTATAAAGAAGCCAGTTCCCCAAGCAAACGCTCTGGCGGGTTGTGGTATGACAAAAATTGCATAGACGAACGTATGGATGAACCTAGCAGCAGTAAATATTCTAAACAGAAGAGTCGCCCACGCCACTGATGGATTTGTCAAGCAGAAGATAAATGCAACAATGATGAACAAGGGAATATTTTCAACATCATTTAAGTGTGCCCTAAAAAAAAACAATGTACTCGAATAAAAAATATTTCATTATGATTTTCTACCGTCTAACTCTTTCCACATGGTCGTCTACACGGGGTTTCAGCTTCAGGCTCGCTCCATCTTCAGGGTTTGCAAAGGCCTATAAGAGAAAAGTTTAAGATTAAGAAACTATTATGATGGTGATCAACATGTCTTAAATATTTTTTCGCTAGTCGTCTCAAGACTCAAAATACAAATTATACGTTTATTCAGTAATTACAACAACGCTTTTACAACAAGAGCTACAGCACTAATTAAAAGACTAATCTGTCCAACTTCAATACGATTAGCACTATTTCCTTTATCTACATCATTTTCGCCAATATCAATAGCCCTTTCGAACTCCAGTCCCGTTCCATTTATTTCTAGCGCGCCTGTTTTCTCGATTTTGAACTTTGGAAGAATTGTAGTCAGCGTAGTTAACCGCATGGTACTATTTTTCATAGAATAAGTCGTATGCATTGTAAGGTCTTCAGGTTTCTCAGCTAGTTCACTCGGCACTGATTCTGTAAGCTTTGATTCATTCCAAGTATGGTTTGGGTCAGACACGTTTTGAAGATTTTTAAATAATACGTTTTTTGTATCGTTCAGACTTGGTGAAGACGTCGTATTTAGTGGATCCTCACCAAAAGAACCAAGAAATACTGAACATAACACAAAATAGCCACACAATAAACGATTCATTGTTTGCAATTCTGACGTGGAAATTGTGTTCAAAAACGTTTAATAATAGAAAATTTATAAACAAATTTTGTTTTTTTAATTGACGGCACACTATGTTATTCAAAGTACTATGGCTTACCATGTTTCTGAACCTTTCGAACATGGTGTAAGCGGACAGTGCCAACACTTTTGCCACAAGAAGAGACGAATGGTATAAATAACTTTGAAAAAGTATATTGTTATGATTTAATATTTGCACCATGTTGGGATTGTTCGAGCTTTGTTCACCTACTAGACCAAATTTTTTGCACAGGTTAATTTTTACCTGTTTAGCGATAAATGAAGTGTTAGAACACCCGAATGTATGTTTAAAGTGCAAGTGGGTAAATAAGCATAACGATGATAACAAACGAGCGAATAATTCAATCAGGTTTAGAACAGGAGTTTTTTATATAGGTATTATATAGTATAAGTATAAAAATAAAAAACGGATCAATGTTAAAATTGATCAAAATTAAAAATGATAATGAATAATCATGACCTGATTAAAAAAGGACATTGTTCTTTATATCGTTGTTTTGCCATGTTGTATCTATGACTTAAACACATTTTTATCTTTACAACAAAAAAATGGTAATTTCATGGCTTTGAAAACAACGGTCAAGTTCTCACCATTGTTTTTCGTTAACGGCTGTGTGAAAAAACATTTCTGGTATTCAGATGGTTTTGATGAATTACTTATTATAACTGATTTTTCTACCTATACCTACTTGACAAAGCAAAGTGTATACGATTACAGAATTGCAATTTGTGACGTCATAATTTGGTAGCCCCAATTAACCAACCAAACATGTTTACAATTGTTCCAGAAGCTAGCTTTTGTAATTTTATTTTTTTTATCAAAGTTGTTCTATTTTTAGTCATATTGTATAGTACCGGAACTTACTTGGCGATTCTTCCAAAATGGCACATAGGAATGTGTTTTCCAATTTGCTGTTATCGTATTATCGTCAAAAACACGCCAAGATAATATAATTACAATAACTTTTTGGTAAATTATCTCTACTTTAGGTAATACTTATGAGATAATATAAGAGATAACCAAGAAACATATGAAACAATGTCCAAAAGTCAGAAATTATGTAATACCTATTACATTTATCTGCGAACTCTAAAAATGGTAAAAATTTCAACACAACAACATACAAAACGTATTTAAAGGAACGCTAATGTACAGTAATACATATTCAAAAACATTTAACACTTAATGGTTGTGGTTTCCCTCAACTTATTTTTAGAATAAGGACAGTGCATGATTTTGTATACATATTATAAATAAAGATTGGTGATTTCCTACTTGTTCCTCTATTTGCTTCAAAAACTGAATAATTTTCAAAAATGCAGTGTTGCCGAAATTCATAAGCCACAGTAATTAGTGCAGAAATACTCACCTTGAATTTGAATCTTGTAAATCCTGTCAAAGGCGACATCACCAGCATTTTAACAGCTAAAATTGATACATACAAAAAGTATGCACGAAATAATGGGCTTTCGACAAACGCAGCATCAATTGTTTGCGCCATTTTTGCAAAAAACAGGAGATGCGTTCAAAAATACAACCAGTAATTACCACCTAAGCGATACAACTACTGCTTATCACATTGTAGCCGGCTCATAACGATGACAAGTCGAAAACCTACTTGAACTTTAATAATGTAACGTGACATAACCTATATCAAGGGAACATAAACAAAATTACGTAGCATTTTTGAAATTTGATGTTAAAGTACAATGTTTCTATGTAGAACAAGTTTGAGAGTCGATTCCTAATTGGTCGATTGCACCATAAAAAAAACACGAAAATTTGGATTTGTTAGTTTCGTATAATGGGTTGCCTACCCCAAGTGACTTGAAACGCATAAAATACGAATTTCGATGGTATCAGAAAAAAATGTGTACAATCATCGCGTGTAATTTTATTTGTATTGACCAAAGTCCTATCATAATGTTGTTACACAATACAAAACTTGATAATCATGCAATAAATCAAATGAGTTGTATTTCTGTATAATTTTTATCAGTATCTACCTACCTATATTAAAAAATTGCTATTGTGGAAACGGGAACAACAGCAGCGCAATTTGCACAGCAGGAACAAAAAAGAGGGACTCGATTACAATACTTCCTTTGCTTACGCTCGGGAAGTAAAAAGTAGTTATAATAACTTTAACTGTAAGAGAAAACATGAAGAGGTTGAAGTTTCCAGAATTTAGAAATTTACGACGAAAATAAATGTATAATTATCAAAATGCACTTTACCCACACATTAGAGCATACCTAGAATTAATAATGAATTGAAGCAAAAGTTCGCTAACAATTATCAAAATTCAAAAATTGGTCGGTTAGGCACAGTCTGATCGAGTTGATTATGACAATGTGCTACATTTATTTACATTTTATAACAATAATTAATTTATCAACAGAAATGTACACTTCTTTGCAAGCTTCTCCTTTTTTATTCCGTTATACGAAGTTCCTGAATTGGTCACGTCCTCATTCACATTGCTTGATCGGACGACATCGCCTTTGTGTGAAAATTGTGAAAATTCACGCTCCTTTCTTCGAACTATTCGTCGACAAACCTTTTTGTTGCTTGTGCATAAGTGCCTTATGGTCCTTGTTGTGTTCTATTGTGAATCGCTCCATTGATCCTTCTGTATTCATTGTCCCATGTGAGCGACTGTTAGCGTACGCTACAAGTGACTGGCGTAACGTGCAAATATTGATTTAAAAGTTGTTTAGACAGAACTTCCCTCATCTCTGAAGCGCAATCAATTAAAAAAATCGAATTCGTTAGATTTACTATAAATTTACCTTTTAGACTATCTTTACAATTACTTTGAAGTGTGTGTAAGATTTCAGAGCAGTCAATGTCGTAGGGTCGAGGTTAAATTATAAAATGTTGTTGCACTATTTTGAATGTAATGGGAAAAAATATAATAGGTATGCAGTCATCATGTTTCCGACAGCGAGGGAAGTACTGTCTAAACTCTTTAGACCAATTTTTTTAATTTAGATGTCGCAGGTAAAAAATGAAGGCAGATTAATAAACCACAAATATCCAACGTGACACAAAACCAAAACTGCACCAGAATTTGCATGGCGGTTTGAAGCATTCGATTCCCTGACACTCGAATTAATAAAGTTTTAAACACTTTACGACGTGGTTGTAGGAACGAACATTCTAATTTTTTATCGTAAGGTTATATACTTATTTAAATAGACGCAGTATTGTCAATACCGCAGATAAAAAAATATTTTACATTATTCAAAATGACCACGTATGCTTTTAAATATTTGGCTGCATTCTTGACCAAACCTGTACCAATTACTCTTAAATATTGTAATAAAATAAATTCGTCAAGAGATCTCAACCGCTACTATTTATAGCTTGCGACTACCCAAATTTAATGACATGGCGTAAAATAAAATTCCATAATTGAAATTATTTTATTACCTATTCTTTACACCTCGTAGGTACATACTATATTATTCCACTGAGCGGAGTTATGAGCTCAATAGCATTAAAAAATGTTGGAAAATAATAATGAATATTTATTATGGAATATATCCTGAAAAAAATAATATAAAAAAAAAACTTGGAATCTTTATAGAAGCCAAGGACAAACGAAAAAGTGCACCAACAATTCATAGAAGGTAATAAAAATTCTGTAAATAGTTGCATTAAATTGTTAATTATTATTAACCGCTTTTTGCAAGAAATTGTTATTTCTGAACTCTCTGGCAAAAAATACGTAGAAAAATTGCATCAAATAACCCAGTATTTTATTCGTCTTCGGAATTTCCAGTTATTGCAGCTGTTTATCCATTAATAACAATGTAAAAATTAACATAAATATTTTTTTGTTTTCACTATTCGTTTCTGTGCAACTGCCAACACTTGTCTGACAAAGATGCTTTAAAAAAAAATTGTATTATCATAAAAAGAACAATGCAATTTTCTTTCACAACTCTTCGTCAGTGCATAGATAGATATGAGGTTTGAGGAAGATGATCTGCTGTAGGTGAATGTCGGCAAGTCAAACTAGTACTAGATCTGACTAGATCACATATTGCACATTTGCTTTAACGTTGATTGTATACATTTTAATTAAGATCCTGTAATCCGTAAATCAATTTTACTTAAAGTCTATTAGCTATGTTTTTAAACAAATCTTAAACTTTTCATTCTACATATATTATTATAAAATAAAAAAAATCAAAGAAAATTTAATAAACAAAAAAAATATAGTACTATTTCACCATACTCAAGACTACTGAAGTGCACTTAAAGTTTTAGAAGAAATATTAGAATAGTCTCGGAAAGTACATTTTTGAAAAAAATCCAGTCGACAGATCACAGACTGACATACGAAAACGGGAAATCTGTTACTACAAAACAAAGATCATTAGAAAAAAAGTAACATCTTTAGCAAAAATATTATTTTAACAGTTTTATAATATTTATAAATATAAATGCAACAATAAATACCTACTCACGCTTCAATTATAAAAATAAATCAGCGTTTTAAGTGCCATATAACCCATGATAACATATCCAACCAACCACGATAATCCTCTGGCGGGTTGAGGTGTAACTACAATAGTATAAACAAATGTATGAATAAATCTGCCTACTGTAAATAACAAAAACAGCGAATTCGTCCACGCAGGATCTGGGTTAGTCCAAATATAGGCAAATCCAGTTAGAAGAAACAAATAAATCGTTTCCATATCATTGCGGTGACCTCTAAAAATTTGATTCAATGAAATCACCATTTAATTGTTGTAAAACACAAATACCTGCGAACTCTTTCTACATTTTCATTGGTCCTCGACACTACTCCGCGCAGGAAGACGGCATCTTCTTCGCAAACGAAGGCCTGAATTTATTTTTATTGTACACATAAAATTCTCACCATTTCATCAAATTGTTCACTCACGTTATTTAAAAATCTCTGTCTGATCGTTAACAACGTCATTAGCATCATTTTCAGTGCGAGTACTGCTGTGTAGAACAAATAAATCCGCAGAACGGGATTAGTTCTCAATAGATGTTCAAACGACACTTCCATTTTTCAGCGAGTATCTTGAAAAACTAATTTGTTGTTTGCGAAACGCATGAAACATATCGGTCTTCCTTGGGTTTCCTGTTTTGAATAACCGAAGGTAAATATGTAGTGCTACAAAATACTGGTTGCTGTATTTTAATCAGGGTCGAAGCAGTTTAAGAAACTACAGTTGACTTTGATCTTTAAATTCTTGACGTAGGTACATATTTGTGTCAGTGTTTGATGTCATAGCTTTACGTCTGGCGTGCAATAATATTTAATAAAAGCTTTTGCTGGTATGGAATGCAAACGAAAATGCTTTAACCTTTATGAAAAATGTGCATTTACCTATTTGATCCGCTGTTCTGTGTATATATATTACCATAATTTTTCCCTAATCTCTAATAGATAAGTAAAGAAGTGTTGTAAGATCACGACTTTAAATAAAAATTCGTTTGCGTGTTTTCGTGTGTGTTGTTCAGTTTATTGTGTGAATTGTAAAAAACGAACAAAAAAATCTTTTTCTAAAAAATTATTTAAAAGATATTTACTAATAAATACACCCTGAAATTAGGCATGTTTTTTTTAATTAAGTAGGAGTTTTTTTTTGCAGTACAGTATCGTTATTATTGATGTTACATAACGAAATTTGTTTATACTTATCAAAAATTAATGACATCAAAAAAGAACACCAAAATTTTATCTATGTAGCTTGGACATGTGTGATACTGAGTGTTTAAAACACCCAGGTAACTTGTCCACTAATGATTTATTCATTTAACATAACAAGCAATTAATAAAAGTATTTGAAAAATCTCTATGGTTGCATAAATTCAAATTTATGCCATGAAATTCCAATAATTTGAAAATATAATCAAAATAATTAGCACAATTTGTGCATCCTTTCTAAATAAATTTCTCGAAATCAAAGTTGGCATACTTTTGTTTGTTTAATATACAGACTGATAAAAAATGGCGCAATAAGTCGACGAAACATTATTAGATAGACGACTCCAAGTTCGGAAAAAAATATTTAAAAAAATTGTACTTTTATTCCTATGTATTCTGTGTATTATAAAATAAAGGAAACGATGACTACACCCCAAAATTATATTGAATAATGAAAGTCCGATCGATTTCGTATACCCAAAACAATCAAGTGAATTAAAATATGTTGTGCCATTTCTTGATCACCTGTATAAGTATTTAAGTTTATTTCGAGTTTTTTATTATTTTGAAATACATATAATGAAATTATTATTTACCTTGTAAAAAATATCGTTAACTTTCTCTACTACAGGGTGGGGAATTAAGTGTCGTAAGTTACGACCTTCCAAATAAAGGTAACTTCAAAGTCAAGTCCGAAACTAAGGAGGAAATTAGTGTCCACTTAAATTATTGCTGTTATAAGCAAAACATGATATTTACTTATTTTGAAGAAATTTTTACAAATCGCTTTATGGTGGTAAATATTTTTTTAGAGTAATAGGGTGGTAAATATTTTTTTTGACTAAGAAGTATGGGCTTGATCTCTATGTTCAATTTTTAAAAACACACATCAATGCATTGGAAGTACGTAACCAATGTTAAGCCAAAAACACCGCACGCGATTTTGTAGAACAAGAAATTATAAAGTAATTGGAATGAAGTTAATGTAGACATTGGGTTTTAGATATTTTTTAACTTATTTTCTTCAGTTAAACCATCAAGTAGTTTGACGTAATATTGGCTGCATAATACCTACTTCTAATGCAGTGATGTGTGTTTTTTAAAACAGATGAACATAGGGATACGTGAATTAAAAAAAATATATTTAATGGACCAAATTGTAGATAATTATAGGCTTAAAACCATGATTTTACATAGTGGTTAATCCGCCTTGACATTTTTCCGAGGCATCGAATTTTCGCAAAAAAAATCGAAATTATTATTTATTATTCATAGTTATATAAGTTCCTACCATACGGTTATTCATAAACTTATTATTGCTTACAGCGTGGTTTTTATTATCTATATTTTTTAATTGATCAAATCAATTGCTTTATTATTAGTATTACATGCGCGTGTCGGAATTGACATACGTGTCTTTGCTGAAATGTTGATCGGAACATTTTCGAATGGGGAAATTCACTAGAAATATAGACACAGCTTTGCGTTTTATCAATGCATTCATATTTTTGGAGCAGTTGGTAATCCGTTTCCTATCAAGGAGTAGAGAAGTGCACAGATTAAATATAAACAGGTTAACATTGTGCGTTCGAAATTTCGAATCAAAGGCTGTGGCGGAGTATAGGTGATAAAATTATGATACATTAATGAATTTAAAAAACAAGCTCTACAGAAATTAAAAAAATATATATAGGTTGTTATTTAGTTTATTATACTGTTACTGATTTTGTAATTTTTCAAAAAAGTGGGATCTAAAAACAGAACCTCCATCTCTTTAAAAGGAAGAGGATAAATTTAATTGTTCTCTCATATCTATATTAAACTTGATCTTGTTTTTGATGCGTTTGTGATAATTGATAATTAAGTATTAGAAATGACCATAAAGACAGACATCAATTGTCAGGGTAGTACAGTTATTGTCTCTACACTTATTCTGATCGTTTACAGTCACATATTCTAAAATTCTGTATTATACAAACGTCAAACATGCCATGTTCAGCTCTTCTGTCACACTGTAACAACTGCACAGACAAAATTTGAGAAAAAATCACGACAAATTAATTTGCATTCATGTTAAAAATTACAAAAAATAAAAAATAACAATACTTTAGAATTTTCTCGATAGTTATTTGTCATTATACCGGAAATGTTCTGCTTCTTTATCTTTTCTATTTCACCCCATCCTATAATGTACTTCTGATTTTAAGTTAACATATGCGGATTTTCTGAAAAGTTTTATATATTGATTGTGATTCCACGATTATAAAAAATGAACTAAATTTTAAATACGTTATTGTGCTTAAACGACGTGTTTATAAGTTTTCCATTGCTTACAAAAGTTTAATAAAAAACAAATATATGTAAATTTGTACAAGTCAAAAGTAATATATTTATCCCTACCAAACAACTGATGATGTCATCTCAAAATTGTGATCTCGCAGGAAGTGCCAGCCTGACGTGGTTCATTTCATTCAAACAAATTTTAGCAATTATTTTGTAAATAATACGATTGTCTAAAACTGGTTTGTTCACTCTTTCTAATTTAGTTCATTTTATTTATTTATATTATTTACTATAAAGTAGGAAAAAGCGCCATTTAAATATTACATGTAATATTATAAACAATACAACAGAATAATATATACAGTACCTCATAGACCACGCTAACAAGTATTAACGAATATGATTATTTAATTACACACACATTTAAACAAAGTTAAATTTCACTTAAGAAGATAAAAACACATCGTCCATTTACAATATTCACGTCACTAAATAAATAAACACATATATAGCACTATGTATAGCCATGTATCCAGTTATCAAAAATCCTCCAAGCCACAACATAGCCCTTGTGGGTTGAGGAAGAATGATCAAAGCATAAACAATTGTGTGAAGGACTCTGAGAATCGTAAAACCGATATATAAAATCGAAGCCAACCATACGTAAGGATGAGTCCAAAGGTAGGCAAAACCAGCAGCCAGGAAGATCGGAATATTTTCCAGATCATTTTGGTGTGCCCTTCGTATTCTTTCGACGGTATCATTAACAACGACCTGACCTCGTAACCATTTGGCATCCTCAGGACATATAAAAGCCTGTAATAACACAGTGATGAAATAAAGTTTAAAGCCGGATTTCTTGTTTTTAATGTCTTATTAAAAAAATATAAACTGAAATATGAAATGCAAAAAACATATAGGTGTAATTTGCAAAATATTACGTTTTTGTTTGAATGATACAAAGTAAAAACAATACTTAAGTAAAGTACATAAGTGAACTCGTAACATTTTAACTATCTGGGTTTTTCTTTACAAACGAGTCCACAACTGCATAATTACAGATTAACATATTTTCGTTTAAGTGATACAAACTACGTGTAAATTTTCAAAAATTACTTTACCTTGTGTCTAAATCTGTTGTAAATGGTCAACAAAGTCACTCCCATCATTTTTAGAACTAATAAACAGGCGCATAATAAATATACGCCAAATGCTGGGTTACTTAGAGTTAGTATAAAATTTTCTACAGGTTTTACAGAACCCGTTGTGTTCACCATACTATTTAAGTAAACTGATAGGTGTAGATAACTAGAGGAAACTTTCACTTATTTGACTTCTTCACGTGTTATAATGCAACTACTGGTTCAAGCAGCCGTAAACATTCGACGTTAAGCACGCATTCGGTGTTGTCCTCAACTTTGTGGCTGTCCTTAACTTTGTTGACGTCCTTAAGCAGGTTTTCCTCTTCTATTCATCTCTGACATACTTGTTTATTTGTTACTGCAGCCGGAATGTGGAAATACTAGATAATTTTGCAAAAAATGATTTGTGTCCGATCAAAACAAATACCCACATGACGTAATGGTAATTACTTGCGTTGTGATTTGACTGTAATTCAAACATCGAAATTCATTATTTAATAATCAGGTTCAATTTATGTACAGAATAAATTAGCTACGAAGTTTATCACAACACTAAGATTTTCGAAGTATCATCAAAGATTCCGTAGTGATATTGATATAAATTGTGGGATTACATATTTGTGCGAAAAAAAATCTGAATCTTTTTTAGTTAATTAATTATAAAATATGGGATAATTGCGAGTACATTTTGCAAAATTTTGATATTTCTAACTGCGTTTCCACAACTTCAGTAAATTTAGAACGATGCGTTTGGCATCTGCTTATGAATAAATTTAGAAATAAATTCAAATTATTCAGTTATTGTCGGCAAATTTGCCTGTTTTCATGGTAAAAGTCGTTTTAATTTGTGTATTAATAAATTTAATGTCTTGTCAAACGTGTCGAAAATGCAATAGCGAAAGTGATTGCAAAAAAAATAAAGGAGGCATCTAAAAATTATGTAATTATTGCAAACACTTTATAAAAAAATTCCACAGAACCTCCCTCGCTTCTGAAGTAGACAAATCCCGCTTCTTTGAAAAATTAGAAAATTAGATGTTGCGATGTTTGTTTTGTGATAACATCTATAAAGTAAAAACCAGCGGCATAAATAACACCCCCGCAGCCTCGGTGCCGTGGGGGTGCAAATTGCAAGAGATTGTACAAGTACAAGTACGGACAATGTAAAATAAGTACATATATTTAAAGCACCAACGGGAAAAATGGCCTCTCAGCAGTAATAACAAGCTGTAATTTTGTTTGATTTGAATGAGTTTGTCGCCTCAGAGCAGAGTACTAAAATTATTAATTAAGCCACAGTAAACAGAATGTTCTGAATATTATTATTAATATTATTATAATGCTTATTAAATAAAGACGTGCGTATTATTACCTTTTCGAGAAAATTTGATCAATAAAAAATTAGTTATGACGTCATAAATAAAGATAATATACAGCGCTACAGAAAAACTGATTCGTACACCACAAGTATAGGAAAATATTACTGTATAACATTTAAATCATATAAACATAGAATTCTTTGTAGTAGTCAAATTGTTGGTAGGAATGATTAGCCAAATTTTGGTTCCGTTTATCCATCCACATGATATTTCTAATAGGTATAGTTACAAAATTTGACAACAATAGGTCCAGCAGTTTTGGAGATTACGCGTCTAATAAAAATGGATACAGACGCTAGACAGACAGACAGACAGACGGAAACAGGAGATTACCGTTTTCGTACTGTAAGGGTCATGAAACGTCGAAAAAATATAAAAGTGGTCATTCGTCCGATGCACTCGATTGCTGTACTTCCTTAGCTTACGCTTGGGAAGTAAAAATGTGGGGTAAAAATTCTTAAAACAATGTTGTAAAAAATTGCTTGTACTATACACATTTAAAAAATGGAGCTGATATACCTATCTATGTATCAAAGAAATCTTTAAATGTTCTTTGGGCAAGATCAAGGAAATGGAATAAACATCACAAAAATAAAACAATGAAACTAAAAAATCTAGGTAGGAGTAAAACGTTTTCTGATGCTGCATAAGTTATTTTTTGATTTGTTAAGGGGGGAGTTATTGAAAGGTACGTACAAAATAAAATCGGCAATTGGTCTCGAAGTATGGGTGGTGAAAGTAGTGTGTTCTCCTTTTAGAGGTAAAAATTTATGTCCAAATTCGTTGTACGCCTCTATTAAAAAGACTTATGACGCAAACCATTTTTTAATTCCTGAAGGAATAAACATGCTCTGAAATTTCTAGTTAAACAAATACAATTTTTAGTATTTAAAATTTTATTAAAAAAATTACAACTTACAAATTTTGCATATAACCCTGGACCAAAACTATTTTCTTTGACTCGATACGACGTGGCAAGAAAAATACACTTTTCTCTCTTAAAATGTGGATACCAGTCATTTTTGTTTTCACAAATTGTTGCCGATTTTTTTTCCTCTCGTACTTCACGTTTTTTATTATATTCTTGCTTTATTCTTTTTTTTTCAGATTAGTTTGGTTTTAAATGACATAACAGTATTTTTGATCTAGCTTTGTTTCAGAATATCTAATGGTATTATTTATAAGTTTATACTTAATAAAGATATAAAATGAGAAACTACACATATTGATTTAATGCAATAGCAGGAGATAACACACGACGTTACCTCAAAGTTTTTCAGTTTTGGATATTCGAATTCTATAGGTATTTTTTGCAGTGTATATGATTCAGATTAACACTAATATTATCGGACGCAATTCTGGTAAGAAAAATGTTATATCATATGAAATTGTTCTGCAAAAACTCATATAAAACTATGTTATGTATAATGAATTACATAATCTGTTTATCAGATCCCATAAAATTAATGACTTATGTTCCAAATTGAAAATATGTTAAAGTCAGTATAATGCGTCCTTACATAAAATAATTTTTGTTGTTGTTATTGTGAACTAAAAAAATGCAGTCTTACGTGGGATAATCTTCCAGTCATATTTATAGCATTTTTACACAGTTTATTGGATTTAATAAAATGTGTTTGCTAACTTTTGCAGCTTAACTACATACTATAAAAATTACGACTAAATAAAATGAAAAAAAAAAAAAATTCAATACAACAGTATTTTTTTGTACTTTGAATTTCGTAACATTACCTGGTTGTAATTTCTTATTCAGCCTTGTCCTACAGAAATGAGTTCAATACACTGAAATTGAAACTCAGATTTAAGTAAATTAGCAGACCATGTTCTATGTCAGATTAGAAAGTCGTGCTAATGGATAATATCGTTGCTATGTTCAAAATTTTCCATTATGTTGGAAATGTCAAGCCGGTTTTTTAAATAAAAATTACCTAATTACTGTAATATTTGAATAATAACAGTTATATAATTGTGATGCAGATCCGCATCAGTTCACAATTTCCTAGTAACTAAGGAAGCAATCTATAATTATAATAAATTTAACAATAACAACAACAGAACATCGTAATTTTTTACAATTACTGTTTTAACAAAAGTGGAGTAATGTTCTAACAGCCATATATCCAGTAACAAAGAAGCCCACAAGCCAAGCTCGTCCTCTGATTGGTTGAGGCATAATGACAACAGTGTACACACACGTGTGGACAATTCTTGCTACAGTAAAAGCAAAAAACAGGAAATTCGCCAAAAATGGATTTGGATCTGTCCAAATATAGGCAAAGGCAATCACAAAAAACAAGTATATGTTTTCCATGTCATTCCGATGACCTCTAAAACAAAATATTATATAATTCGGTTAAAAGCGGTAAGTGTACTTACCTACGCACTCTTTCTACGTGTTCATTCGTTCTAGAAACCATTCCCTTTAAATACATTGCATCTTCTTCACTAACGAATGACTAAAATGACATAACATTTAGTTAAATAAAATTTGTTATAGTAAATAACTACTTACTTACGTTGTTCATGACTCTTTGCCTAATCGTCAACAGTGACATAAACATCATTTTAATGGTTAGAATTGCGGTGTAAAACAAATAACTTCGAAACACCGGATTTTCGTACAGTAATTTTAGTTGCACATCCATCTTCACTAATTTCTTTGGCTCTGTTGAAACAAATCTGGCTGGATAAACACAAGAAACCTTCACAAAATTTTATGCGTTGCTTTTAATTAGACGATATAACGGAAAGCTGGCGTAAAAAGTCCGGTTGCTAGACCGAAGACTGGATCGTCCGACACGTTCAAAGAACCTATACGACTGACCTTGCTTAGTAAATGCGAAGTTCAACATTTGAAATCTCTTTTGACCTATTTTTTTGCAGGTAGTCAAAATAAACGGTGAATGTTACGTAGTGTTGTAGATCTGATATTTTTACGTAAAACTGGACAACCGGTAACGAGGAAATGTTTTTATAGAAGAAAGCCTGCGGTTGGTTACAATGACCGAAGAGGTGGTGGGTGCTATCTCGGTTCTTCTGGAGGAACTTGTAGGTGAAACGTTGCATTTCACTGATTACTGGATGCTCACGACATCGGCGATTATGTCATGTAGTATGTTTGCAGAGAAATTTGTGAATTACAATGTTTTTTTTTTTTTGATTTTGCATAAGTAAATTCTATTGATATCGATTATTTTATACTCTCTATATTATATTTTCTCGATCTTTCATGACCCCTAGAGGACGAAGAAATAGGTCTCCCGTTTCCGTCTGTCTGTCCGTCTGTGCGAGAGCAAGATTTTTGAAAATTTTGCTTTGAAAATGTTTTTTTTTAATATTTCGATATTTGTCATTTTTCATTTATCGATTCTGGAAAAATTGTTGGAATTTTCGAAAAAATAAAACCGAAAATCACTACAACTCGCTACAAGAAAATGTCTATGAGTAAATTTCGAATGGTGTTCGAAAAACAGTCAAAATATTCATAGTGTTGAAAAATTGACGAGCTGATTCGAAAAACATAAAGTGTTAATGGTTTTGAACCACGATATTTGAAAATGACATTTTTTTGCCCCAAAAACTATTATCTTTCATTTTGTTGATTCTGGAAAAATTGTAGAAATTTTCAAATAAGTGAAGCCGAAAATAAGAAACAAGAAAATGTCTTGAGGTAATAATTTCCGAAAGTGTCGGAAAAGTTTAATTAAAAAAGTGATCAAGTTGGCCTTGATTTTTGTAAACATTGTAACGTCTAAAATAAATTTAAATTTATTCTGACAACGCGGAAATGTCAGTTGTACACAACAGTTTGGGTTAATAAAACACATGCGCCTTTTGTTACATTTTCTTCTATCTAAAAATTTTTTTCGAAAATGATTTTTTTTAATATACAGGGTGTTATTGAAAGGTACGTACAACAAAATTGACAGTTCTTCGCGAGGCCTAAGAGGTCTGAAAAACTTATTTTGTGTTATCAAAATTGTAAGGAGAAAATTGACCCTTATCCAACCTTTTTAGACGCTACTGAAAGATAAATAGGTAAAATTAATTTATTTTAATAAATCCTAGCAACTGTGACAAAACTTTTGTCAAGACTAAATGTTGCTATAGAAACGAGAGATGATGTTTTTATCAGAGGCGTACAACGAATTTGGACATAAATTTTAATCATTTTTATTTCTAAAAGGAGAACACTTTTACCTGAACTTTTTTTTACTTTTGGCACCCATACTTCGAGACCAATTGCCGATTTTATTTTGTACGTACCTTTTAATAACACGCTGTATAAAATATCGAAAATCGGCATTTTACATTTTATCGATTCTGTATAAAATCTTGGAATTTTCGAAAAAATGAGGCCGAAAACATCTGCTACAAGTCGAAATATACAACAAAATGTCTTTAGGTAATTATAATCAAAGATCGAGCACTCTCACAATAATTCATACGTGAAAAAATTGAGATTTTTGAGAAGTTGCCTAAAAATCCTAAAAAATTCGGGAATATAGATCTAGACGAGCTAATTCCCAAAATAAAGTCTTGACAGTCCCGGATCAAAATTTTCGAACAACTCGGTTTGAAAATGGGACTTTTTAAATATTTCGAAAATTGTTATTTTTCATTTTATTGATTCTGAAAAAATTGTTAGAATTTTAGAAGAAATGAGGTCGTAAATAACTTCTGAATCTCGAAATAGACAAGAGGTAGTTTTCCAAGGGTGTCGAAAAACCGTCAAAAAATTCGTGTTGAAAATTTGAGATTTATGAAAAATTGTGGAAATTCCACAAAAAAATTCTGGCTTACAGATCTCGACGAGCTGATACAAACAGTTTTATATTGACGATTCGGTACCAAGATTTTCTAAAAATTCGGTCTCACAATGAAAGTTTTTCTGTCTCGAAAATTGTGATCTTTATTTTATAGATTTTCAAAAAATTGTTGGCATTTTCGAAGAAATGAAGCCAAAAATAACTTCTACTAGAAGAGAATGTCTTTAGGTAATTTTTCAATGGTACTCAAAAAACAAAAAAATGTTAATGGTTCTGGAATATATTTGAAAAATTCGGTTTGAAAGTGATTTTTTTTGTTCCAAAAACTTTTCATATTGTCGATTTTAGAAAAATCGTAGAAATTTTGGAATAAATGAAGCCGAAAGTAACTTCTATAAGTCGAAATCTACAAGAAAATGTCTTTAGCATAATTTTCGAAAATAAGTACTAAAAACGATAAAAAAATTCGTACGGATGAGAATTGAAAAATTTCCATAAAAATCCACAAAAATTCAGGAAGATAGACCTCGACGAGCTGATTGGATAATTTAAGTTTATCGAATGTTTCAATGATTCCGGTACAAAATTTTCGAAAAATTCGGCCCGACAATGACATTTTTTTTTGTTTCGAAAATTGTAATTTTTTATTTTATCGATTCTGTAAAAATTGTTGGACTTTTCGAAGAAATGAAGCCAAAATAACTTCTATAAGTCGAAATCTACAAGAAAATGTCTTTAGGCAGGGGCGGCTGGTGGTGCCAGAAATTTGTGTCATAATTATCAAAACTAATTTTTTTATTTCGCTCCACTTGTATAAGATGTATCAAAACTTACATTCACTTACATCTAAAGATGTGTCTTGGATATATGATATGTTATTTCTGATGAAAAGCTGATAAAAGCCGGAACAGAGACCGAATCATAGCTGATTTTTAGACGTTTTGTTTACACCGTTGCCATAAACCAAGGAAACCTCACGTTCTAGCCGCCTGATTCACCTGGACTGCGGTCCTGTTGCGACAGTGCTCGGCAGGACTGAGTTACTATCGGTTTTAATTTTCATTCTGTGCGAACACGTATGATAAATATTCTTGGATAATCTTCTCGGTAATACAGACATTTGGAAACAACTACACACCGCTTATATTAATAATATTCGGGCACATAACGCAAAGATCGAAAAAAATCGCCATATATTACGCCGATTAATAATGTGCATAAAATTTTATCGAGTGTTTGAATTTGCTTTTCGTGGACATGAAGGAAATCACAAAATCCACGTATATTTCGAGGTCTGATTGATTCTATGGTTGAATTGGACTTTATCAGATCATTTGAAAGAAGCAACAGTTTTTAAAGGAATGCCTAAAACTGTCCAAAATGAACTTTTAGACGCCATGAACATAAAATTTTGACCGAAGGCAGAAAGGTATGTGGAGAAATCTTTTTTTTATTTGTATTGAATGTATTTTTGTATTTATTTCCGTCACACAATTTCGTCTATTAATTGGTAATAACAACCAGTTTTATGTCTTCATATTTAAGTCATCAATCAAATTGTGTCTCCCCATTTCAAAAGGTCACGAGCCGCCACTGTCTTTACGTAATAATTTTCGAAGAGTGTCAAAAAGCGGTCAAAAATTCGTACGGAATATCGGAAAATTAAGATTTTTTTGAAAAGTTGCCTAAAAATCTTCAAACAATTGTGGGACATAGAATTGAAAATGAGGCCGAGTATACGTCATACAACAAAATGCCTTTGGGTAATTATCAAAGAGTTTTCGAAAGAGTTCACACCGGAAAAAAATGGAGATTTTTGAAAACTTGCCTAAAAATCCTCAAAAAATTTTGGAATATAGATCTCGACGAGCTGATTCCAAAAATAGTCTTGACAGTCCCGGAAGAAATTCTTTTTAAACATTTCGAAAATTGTTATTTTTCATTTTAATGATTCTGGAAAAATTATTGGAATTTTCGAGGAGATGGAGTCGTAAATAACTTCTGATTCTCGAAATTTACAAGAAAGTGTCTTAAGTAAGTTTCGAAAGGTGTCGAAAAACGGTAAAAAAATTCGTATCGAAAAAATGAGATTTTTGAAAAGTTGTAAAAAATTCCACAAAAAGGGCTGGAATAACAGATCTCGACGAGCTGATTCCAAAAATAGTCTTGGAAGTTGCGGATCAAGATTTTAAACAACGGTTGAAATTTTCAAAGAAATGAAGTCGTAAATAACTTCTGATTCTCGAAATTTACAAGAAAGTGTCTTGGGTAATTTTCGAATGGTGTCGAAAAACGGTAAAAAAAATATTGAAAATTTGAGCTTTTCGAAAATCTGGTATATACAACAATAAAAGCATCAATGATTCGGGACCTAGATTTTGAAAAAAATCGGTTCCATAAGCAATATTTTTTTATCTCGAAAATTGTGAGTTTTTATTTTCTCGATTTTCGAAGAAATGAAGCCAAAAATAACTTCTACTAGCCGAAATATAAAATTGTAATTTTTGAATGGTACTCAAAAAACGGTTAAAAAATTGAGATTTTTTAAAACGTGCCAAAAAATTTTAGGATATAGATCTCGACGCGCTTACTCGAAAAACATAAAGTGTTAATGGTTCCGGACCAATACATTTGAAAAATTCGGTTTGAAAGTGACATTTTTTTTCCAAAAACTTTTCATTTTGTCGATTTTAGAAAAATCGTAGAAATTTTCTAATAAATGAATCCTAAAATAACTTCGATAAGTCCAAATCTACAAGAAAATGTCTTTAGGTAATAATTTTCGAAGAGTATCAAAAAAGTCAAAAAATTCGTACGAATGAGTATTGAAAAATTAAGATTTTTGAAAAATTGCCTTAAAAATCCACAAAAATTCGGGAATATAGACCTCGACGAGCTGATTCTATAATTTAAATTTAACGAATATGTCAATCATTCCGGACCAAAATTTTCGAAATATTCGGCCCGATAATTGCATTTTTTTTGTCTCGAAAATTGTAACTTTTCATTTATCGATTCGGGAAAATTTGCCTAAAAGTTCTCAAAAAATTCTGGGAAATATTAAATCTGGATGAGCTAATTGAAGAAACATAACGTATCAATGGGTCTGGAACAAGATTTTCGATTGGGTTTTAAATTGAAATTCTTTAAATATCTCGAAAACTGTGATTTTTTATTTTATCGGTTTTTTCGAAGCCAAAAATAACTTCTACGGGGGTATTGGAAAATTAAAATTCTTGAAAAGTTGCCTAAAAATCATCAAACAATTCTGGGATGTAGATCTCGACCAACATATCAAAATATTTAAGTAAATTTCGTTTTAAACATACAGCATTATATGCGCTTAATAATCCTAAAAATATGATTATTTAAACATTAAATAAACACTTGATTTGTAGAGGGTGACCCGTGGTTTAATAACTCCCTTTAGTTTGAGCTTTGCGCATACATATAGGTTATCCAAAAACATAAATCTGAACCATATAATTCATAATTATTTCAAAAATTACACTGTTCTATAAAAAAAGACAAGAACTACCAAATTTTACAACTGTTTTACGAATTACAAAACATTGACTAAAATTTGCTGCTTTGTGGTCGTCAAATGCTGGACAGGGCCGGCTATGATCTACTCTACAATAAATTTAATTGAGGCGATTTTAAGAAAATATTAATTATTAATTAACTCAATTTTTGTATTTGTATGTAGTAGAGTTGTACCGACTGTAGGTCTGGCCGACTAACCGACTAGCCGATTGTTCGGCCAGTAAAAACCGACTAGTCGGCCGACTGTTCGGCTTTGCTAAAACCGGTTTATAAATGCGACAGACAGTGTGTTTTTTTTTCTATATCTCTGACTACCTTAAAAATTTGTTTTTATTAATAAAAGGAATAACTAAAGTTCCTTTGTTTTCCAAAAAAATGTGTTAAATTTGTTTGGACAATTTTAACATTTAATTTTTTTTAGTAACTCAGTACAAAAATAAAGAATAACACAATTTAGGGCCAGTTTATACAATATTTTAACTGAGATTAAGTTGATCGCGCATTTAACAAGGCCATTAGCGACGTCTGATTGGCGTAGAGTCGGTCACATGGTACTTCAACGCGGGGTTAAAAAGTAAAGCGCAATTAAATATTTAATTGAGGTTCTGTAAACCGGGTTGAATTGTTTTATATACTATTTTAATTTTAATAAAAAAAAGCCGACCGAGCGGCTGTTTAGCCGACCAGTCGCCGACTGCAGCCGACGATGAAAACCGGCCGAATAGTCGGCTTATCCGACCGGTCGGCCACTAGTCGGTACATCCCTAGTATGTAGGTATCTAAACTGTGAAGACGTCACAGTTGACATACTCGTGATCACCTCATATTTAAAGCTTCCATCTTAAAAGTTTCCATCTCATCCAAATGTTCTTCCTATTCTTCTTCCTTAGTCGTGTATCATTTTAAATTGTTATATTTAGTTTTATTTTGTTCAGAGGTAGGTTTGTGTACAATAAAAATATTTCTTAACTAGATTTTTCGACAAGTTCAAATGTTCTTTATTTACAAAACAAATATAAAAGTAATTAATACAGCCGTACAAAATATAGATTTATTGTCTACCTAACTAACAGTTATAACAACAAAACATTCTTCATTTGAGCTGAGCTAGTAGGAATGCAAGAGAATTAACAACTAATTTCAATAATCTGTAAAGCTTACAGTAAAAAATCTATTTACAAAAGTAAATCTAATAACTAATTACTCTACAGCATCACAGCGTTTACGTCGCTTGGAACATTCTAAATTAATGTATCATCAGTATGGTTCGCTTTGATTATTTGGCACTGTCCATTGGCTCTTGCTAGTAAAGGAATAGGATGGGAATGGTGTGATCCATTAAGTGTGTATTTTCGTGCTTTCTTCTTAAATAGCCCACATCTGAAAAAATAATTACAATAAATACTAAAATTTTTCGAACAAATTAAATTTAAAAACACAATCCCAGAAATAATTCTTTTTGGAACATATTTTTAATGTTAAAAAATTGAACATGATTTATTTTTATGTCTAACTACAGTAAAATTGGCTGAATTTTATTATGTTTGAAAGTTGGCACAAAATTACGTGCCGTTGCACATCCGTGTGCTTATTCCACTCGAAAATGTGTATTCAACCGAACGCAGATAGGAAGACTCTTTATTGAGCGAAATTAAAATTAACTTGTCAAGCGCTTAGTCGTTATGGAAATGTCCCATTTTCGATTTAAGAAAACATTTAAATGCTTACCTAGAAAGCAGAAGAAAGAAGTCTTTCCTGTACTGAGCCGTCATTACAGCATACAGGTACGGATTAGCACAAGAATTAATAGGATAGAAGAATACTAGTAATATCTTCGATTTGGTGACCCCAATCAATGGATAGCCCGCCAGGGCCGTAATGCTGAAAAATGAGATCGGGGCCCAAGTTGCAAAATCTGTAAAAACGAGTAACGCAAATTTCTTTGCTACCGCCATTTCGTGACGTGTATCTTGATTGAGACTTAAATAAATCTGTACATAGCAGAATACTATTAAAGCAAACGCCAGTCCATTTACTATTATGATGGAGAAGAGGTAGGCTCGATCTGCTACTCTGTTCACTTCCATGGGGAGGCAAATGCTGGAAATAATGGTTGTGTTAAGCTTTTCGTAAATGACTTTCGTAAGATATAAGCAAATTATAATAATTATTACAGTGTATCCTTCTAGTTTTGCCTCGTATATTCAATAATGTTAATGATACTGACTGTGTAAGCATTTGTTGATGAAACTTACCTAGTGCTGCTGTAATTGCTTACACCCACCAAGGGTAAAGCAGCAACGAAAATGGAATATGCCCAGCCAAAAAGCATAGCTTTGGTCGCAGATCCTAGTCGAATACGTCTTGTTAAGTAGATGGCGTACGTTATAGCAAACCAGCGTTCCAGTGTTATTACTGCCAGTGTGAATATTGAAAGATGACTAGCAAATACTGTGAGAAATCCGGCCAGTTTGCAACCGAAACCTGTAAAAATAGAATACTTAACAAATAGAAAATTCAGAAAAGAATGAATTTTAATTAAAATTCATGGCGTTTATTTTACTGTCAGAATCACTGGATACAGCCAGAATTTCATATGACCTTTATTGCAAGAATGCGACAAAAGGATAAAGCTTAAATTCCAATCCTTGTCTGTAAATATCTGGCTTAATTCAAGAGATTCTCTGTTACTGTTTGCCAAACGCAGGTTCGAAATGTTAAGGTGGTAGACAACTGAATAATCTTATGATCTAAATTAACATATTATATAACTTCAATTAATAAAATAAGTTGTATCAAATTCTGTAATTGCTCTTGTTAAATCAATATTGACCCACCACTCGTAAGAAAAATCCTTGTATTAACTTTAACCTGTTTAATTAAGTAAAAGTCACGTCCGCCGACTGGAATAAAATAGGTTTTTATGCCCAAGCGCTCGCTTGTAGAAAATTGTCAAGTAGACATCTTCTTCACTGTTAGGTGACAGATACAAGCAACCGTAGACAAAAAATAAAAGAACGTCTAAGTTTCAAGTATTTAATTTCGCTGTTTTATTTTTAATAACTGCTGGCACTCTATTGGGATTTTTTTTAAATATATAAGATAATTTTGATTTGTACGATTGAAAATAAAATGAATTAGAGTTGGCTGTGAAACTAACTGCAGCTAACACATCACATCACAAAAAATTCATTTACGTCAAGAACAGCACTACCGTCCAAAATTTGCCAACGCCAACTCTAATTCCGTTTGTTTTCGGTATCAATGTACCACTCTATGTACATGTAATTTAAGAGCTGGGGTTAATCACTTGGAAGAGCTTTAATACGCCTGATAGAATCTCAAATGAATTGTCCACATAACGAAATTATGCGGGTAATTTAATCTTTCTTTGTGCAGTCAATGAGTTTTCCGATTATATGTGAATTACCTTCAACAGCACCATTAACAAGTCTGTTTGGGTAATAGCATTTTCATTCTGTTTTGGAATGAATTATTGAATGTTTAGCACACACAAAGTGGCCTTTTTATAGTTGCGTTTATTGGTTTTACTATAAAATCTGACTTCTGTCCTGTAAAAAATATACAACACGCGATGAGTAACTTATTAAAATTATTTATTGCCGTAACAAATAGACTACACCACAAAAAAAAAATGGAAAAAAAAACACTTTTCTTTTAGTTTTCAAAAAACTATGCCCCTCTTCAAGTTCTAGATTTTTTTTATTTTAAAATAATAAAATCTCACCAGATATTTCGCTAAGATATTTTTATAGATTATTTTGACCTTAACTAGTCTGTTTATTGTCGAAACGAACTGAACAAATAGTGAATTAATTATATGTTTTCTGATTCGACCTGTTTAAACAGTTATTCTAGGATCTCATCTCTGCGTAGTTTTCAGTTTTTAATGACACAGTCCTGTTTGTTGAAAAAATTTGGAGGATTTTTAGCCAACCTACGATCTAATCAGATTTCCTAGCACGTACTTTAGCAGGTCGATCCCTGTCCCTCTAAATTGCCTTACGAACGAACTCACATTTTTTAAGATATCCTTTATCCGTAAATGTTTCCTCGTGCAGTTTTACGCCTGGTTTGGTCTATCGTCATGTATTTTGTATCACATAACTAGTTCGACTGACAACTATATTGTCTTGCATTGTTGCTTTTATTTTTAATACGTACGTTAGTTAATATTAGTAAAAGAATTTTTGAGGTATGTATGTTGTAAATATTATAGTTTATTCAGAAACTTAAAATACTGAATCCCAGTTTAAATACATCTTTCATTGCCGAGCGTAATGGTCAAAATATGCAGCTAATTTCACAACGTACCGATTTTATAAATATAATTGACTTCAGTGCGACTTTACTTTTCAGCTGAAAAGACTAATCAAGTAGTGATTTTATGGTTCATCGTTTCATTCATCGCAGCACTTGTGAAAGAGTTAGAAACTATGTGACATCAATGAATCTGAAAATAGAAGCCAGAATGGGCAAAGAATTTACGAAAAGATCTGAATCTTGTACGATGAATATTGTTGCTTTTAATTTTTACGTTATAAATGATGACGTTTTTTAATGTTACGTTGTGGCGACTTATATTTCTGAAATTATTACAACTTTGTTATCCATCTTTTCAGCAAAGTGTATGCTGATGTTATTACACACGAATGGTCATGTAAAAAGCGGAAGTCACCGACCCGGAAAAAATCCTGTAATAAAAGAACATAATTTTTTTAGCTGTACAATAAGTAGGAAGTAACTAAAAACTGTATTCTTGAGTAGTTGAACGTTGTAAAACAATATATAACAATACAAAATAAATAAACAATAAAGATTAAAGGAAATTTTGTTTTCTAGGGTTAAAAGAAAAAATATGTACACAAATAATGGGAATATAATAGCTGTTATTGATTGTACAGAATAGTTTTAAGGGCATTTAATAATTTGTTTTATTTTCAACGTCATTGGAAAAAATAATATTAGTCTCAAACTTTCCTGAACACTGTTAACTTTCCTTAGGCTATAACAACGTGAAATTTAGATCAAATAATATTACAAAACTTCGAAGTGAATTCCTTTGAACAGTAAATGACGCAGTTTTATGCATTCAAAGATCTCTCCGATAGTAGTCAATTTACGCAGTTTTTTATTTCGTGGATACACACCTTTATATTTACTTCAGCTGTTAACTTCCACAGAAATGAAAAAATTGGTCTAAAGAGTTTAGACAGTACTTCCCTCGCTGTCGGAAACTTGACGACTGCATGCCTATTGTGTTTTTTTTCTCATTACATTTTTGTAGTGGGAATTTAAAAAAAAATTGCGATGACGTCATCAACATTTTTGCAAGGACACGTATATCAGTTGGGATAGATGTAGTGTAATACTAAGAATAAAATTATTATATTCTCAAATTTTCGGGAAAATGAATTGGGTCGTTTTGAATATTGATTTGTAATAATCAATAAAATAACGAAACAATTTACTCACGTTTACGTATCAGAGGCAGCTGAAAATCGTGTATGTATAAACATTCTTAATTTAAGATGACAGGCGTAACAGCATACGTGAGAGTCAAACAGAGAAACTGTAAACAAAACGACCATCGGTTTTATTGCTTCGACTTCCGCTTATTATATAAAACATTGGGTTTTATTTTAATTCTTGACGGTGAAATTCACAATTGGTTGATTATAAACATGTCTATTTCACATTCGCGGAACCAAGTGAACGCATAAAACAAATGCAGGTCTGTAATGTTAAAGTCGATGTAAATAAGCGTGCTACCCTTATGTTTCAACCGAGTTTTTCCTTTAACAAATTTTGTGTCTACCAAATTGGGTTGGTTGGGGTGTAATACTAATAATAAGTGTTGCCTTTAATTTAATCAATAAAATAAATTGACTTCATTAATTTTTTTGAACCACCTCTTAAGAAAATCTAAAAAATATGAATGGAATGATAAATCACAAGTACAAACCCATCATATTTTTTGCATTTTAGATAGGATTTATTCAGCAAAATTTAAGGGTGACGTCATCAATTTTTTTAAGGAGGATGAACAAATACATTTTGAACAAAAGTTTACCATGTTTATAATAACTTTAAAATATTCCCAAGATTTCAAAGCATTCGGTTTTGTAATTCCTGATTAAATCGATAAAATAAATTCACGCCTTCATTAATTTTTTTGAGTCACCCTGCATATGCAAATCCAAAAATATGAATGGAATGATAAATCACAAGTACAGACTCATCATATTTTTACAGTTTAGATAGGATTTATTCGGCAAACTTTCGAGCTGACGTCATCAATTTTTTGGAGGGGATAAGCAAATATATTTTGACTAAAAATTTATTATGCTCTTTATAACCTTAAAACATCTGCAAGATTTCAAAGCATTCGGTTTTGTAGTTCCTCATTAAATCAATAAAATAAATTTATGCAATCATTAATTTTTTTGAGTCACCCTGTATATGCAAATCGAAAAAATTTGAATGGAATGATAAATCACAAGTACAGACTCATCATATTTTGTACATTTTAGATAGGATTTTTTCAGCAAAATTTTGTGGTGACATCATAAATTTTTTAGGGGGGACGACCAAATACGTTTTGATCAAAAATTTACCATGCTTATGATAATTTTAAAATATCTTCAAGATTTCGAAGCATTCGGTTTTGTAGTTCCTGAGTAAATCAGTAAAATAAATTTACGCTTTCATTTATTTTCTTGAATCACCCTGTATATGCAAATCCAAAAAATATGAATGGAGTGATAGATCACAAGTACAGACTGATCATATTTTGTACATTTTAGATATGATTTATTCGGCAAATTTTCGAGCTGACGTCATCAAGTTTTTGGAGGGGATAAGCAAATATATTTTGACTAAACATTTATTATGCTCTTTATAACCTTAAAACATCTGCAAGATGTCAGAGCATTCCGTTTTGTAGTTCCTGATTAAATCAATAAAATATATTTACGCATTCATTAATTTTTTTGAGTCACTCTGTATATGCAAATCCAAAAAATATGAATGGAGTGATAAATGACAAGTACAGGCTCATCATATTTTGTACATTTTAGATATGATTTATTCGGCAAACTTTCGAGCTGACGTCATCAAGTTTTTGGAGGGGATAAGCAAATATATTTTGACTAAACATTTATTATGCTCTTTATGACCTTAAAACATCTGCAAGATTTCAGAGCATTCGGTTTTGTAGTTCCTGATTAAATCAATAAAATATATTTACGCATTCATTAATTTTTTTGAGTCACTCTGTATATGCAAATCCAAAAAATATGAATGGAGTGATAGATCACAAGTACAGACTCATCATATTTTGTACATTTTAGATATGATTTATTCCACAAACTTTTGAGCTGACGTCATCAAGTTTTTGGAGGGGATAAGCAAATATTTTTTGACTAAAGATTTATGATGCTCTTTATAGCCTTAAAACATCTGCAACATTTCAAAGCATTCTGGTTAGAAAATAAAAAATTAAATTTCAAAATGTTGTTTTATAATTTTGATTTTTTTTCCAAAAATCTGGACGTTTCGGGTGAAAAGTCGATTCAGAGTTGTAAACTACATGTGTAGGACTATGTTCTTTTATACAATTGAAAACCCATTTACTATGTACAATTTTGAAGTGACGTCATCGCATTAGTGGTGGGGATGATTAGACAAATTTTGGTTAGCGTTTTACCATCTACATGATATTCTTAATATAAGTACAAAATTTCACAACAATCGGTCGAGTACTTTCGGAGATTATCTGTCTAATAAAAATCCGGGACAACAGACGGACAGACGGACAGACGGACGGACAGACGGACAGACGGACAGACGGACAGACAGACGGAAATGGGAGACCTATTTCTTCGTCTTCTAGGGGTCATGAAAGATCGAGAAAACGTAAAAGTAGAGAGTCGGCCGACGGACTCGATTACAATACTTCCTTTGCTTGCGCTCGGGAAGTAAAAAGATGTGTTGAAAATTTTGTTGCTACACTTTCTACGAAAATTTATGAACCAGCTTCCATTTATATTCATGGAAAGGTTTTATCCTCCACAAAGAGATTTAAATTCCTCCGTACACATACATAACATACGTACTGGTAAGCTGTTTTCGAGCAAACTTTTAGTATTGAATATCGTGGGGATACAGGGTCACATATAATCACTACATCTGTTACCAAACTGTCATAAAGCAAATAAAACTGGATTTAGATTACATGATTTTTTCGTACTACAGTAAATATTTGGCTAAGCAGGATGTGTTAGTATTACGAGATCTTCGATATCCTATAGAATACACAAACAGAACTTGTTTCTTTTCATATATACAGGGTGTTTCCATTGCAAATGTTAAAAATAATCTTTCTAATTGTACAAACTTACCGTATTGCCAGTCGAACGCAAAATTGAAGTAAGTCCCTACGGAATGAAGATCCATACTTGCAATCAGCAACAAATATAACCCCATACAAAAGTCTGCAAACGCGAGATTACATATTAAAAATTTACTGACAGTCAGTTCGCCACCACTAAACAACACAACCACTATCACTGTTAGATTTCCAACAACCGCCAACACTACGACGAACCACACTGATATTCTGAGCCACGAGAAACCCATTATGTCTTCACAAGGGTTAAGAGCATTGGCTTCAGGATAACACTTCACAGAAGGTGTTCTGGAATAGAACAAAAGTTGACTTAAATTCTTTGAGATGGTTAACTCATCACCTGATCGCCAAATTTCCACAAACCGCAACTACACTCTGTCGGCCTGTCATTTCTGCAGATTTAGCATGAAAAGTCCCAAAGTCCTCGTCAACTTCCATCGGTCTCGCCTCTTCATGTTGAATTGTTTTTCCTCGCAAGGGGTTTAAGTGCGAGTGGTCAGTCCTATTTGGATGACCTTTAAAGTGCTCTAAATTTGGAGTCCAGTCCTTGGGCGGAGACGGCACCCGTTCAATGTTTTCATAGCCCAAGCCACTCCTTGGAGAAAATTAAAGATTTAATACAACTTGGAAGCTTTCTCCTTGTCCAAGACTTACGACTCGGAATCGTAGTCCTCGTGAAACCACCTCTTTCTCCGTTTGTGCTCGGTAGTCTGCCCCGTGTCAACTGCAAACGTGCCATCCTGACACATTTTTTTAATTTTCTCTTGATATTGGGCATGCCGCTGCGGGTCATGTTGTTCGGGATATTTGAACGCACAACAATGGAAAGGATGCGTCAGTCTTGCCACCTTTAAGTGCTGAATAGAATCAAAGCGGAGATTAATGATTAAAGAACCTGGTTGCTTCACAACATTACCATTACCTCTAGATCGTAGATGCTGGGAATTACTTTCATTGAAGGGGTATCTTCGATGCGAAGAGTTTCAAGCTCTCCCAATCCGACGATTGGAAGCTTTTCGATTGAGGTACCAGATAAGTCTCTACAATCAAGAAACTGCTGCGGTTTAAAAATGATAAGTGTATGTGGTGGATTAATCGATTTGGGAACCCTCTCCTTGAATTCGTATTAGAGATGTTTCCCTACATTTTATCTTCGTTGTGAAGTCTAGACTTAATGCGAGCATTTTAGGAAATGAGAAAATAAAACTCAAGTTTCGCCAAAGTAAGTACGTAATATAAAACTTAATCAGCGTACTAGATATTTTTTTATAACTAAACTGAGCTAAGGAGGAAGAAAGTTCCCAAACACTTGCGAAACAACAAAGTTTACTTACAATTCTCTCAAACTTTGCAGTCCTTTGAAACCATTGGATTCTATTTTTGTCAGTCTTTTATTGCCTCTCAAGTTTCTACGGGAAAAATGATTTATAAATACATTACGGCGCTGACTTCCGTCACATAATATCTTGTTTGTAAGTAAATTAAGTTAGTAATTTAACATTTTATTTTTTCTTGAGAAGCTATTATGTTCAATTTCCTCATTTAGGAAATTTATTATATTGCTGTTGTAAAACCAGGATAAACCTGTAACTCAATACTTGAAAATTTTGTTTTAACCTACTGAATTTAAAAAGTACACCGGAAATCAGGTGGTCTACATTTTGTGTTCGTGAAATATAATTAAGCCCACAATTTATAAGCACAGTAGCGATGATATAACTAAGCGCACAGAGCGTGGATACGTGGAAGGTACTTTTTATACGTAATAAGTATAGATTAAGATGTTTGGCAAATGGCGCTACGGTTCGATCTCATCTCTAATGAAATTCTGACTGAGTCTATTAAAGCTTTTATGTTTATTTGTATGGTTCAATTTACGATTAGTCTGCAGCATCATAGATTAGATACACTTGTGTGAGACGGCTTTTAGAAAAATTTCTAAAGCCTAATGTTGATATACATATGCATGTTTCTTGTACAACAGACAGTTTATATGTGCTAAAGTTATACGATTTATTGTGTGTTTTATTATCATGTATCAAACCGGATTAACTATCAAATACATTATTATACTTTATTTGCACATAAAATCATTTGTGGAATGAATTCACATGCATACAGTGTGTATTTTATCAAAATTATTAATGCAAAAAACGCAGGTTTTTGCAGCTCAATATGTACAGCATGTCTAAAGGCGGAAAAATAAATAACAAAATAAATTCCAGAGCCACTCTTAGATCCAGAACCATTTATGGACATGTTGTGTACCTTTATAAATACCGGGTGTCTGGAAAATGGCGGATTCACTACGCTCTTGACAATCAACTGGTTAAGCAGTTAAAAATGACTGACGTATCAAAAATTGTCAAAGTTTTCAAAACCCTACGTTTAAAATGTTTTAAGTCCCCTGTGTTTTATTTTGAGATAAATTTAAAGGAATCTGGTGTTATGTTGGTGGATGAACTTGAAAAAATCTTTTGAGCTTTTGGTGTTTTACTTTTTATGAATTTGAAACAGTCTTGAGTGCCGCAATGTTCTTTTTTTAATTAGGGAGATTCTTGGGCACCCATGGTGTGTTATTTTGGGGGTCCACGGAGATTTTTTTGTCAATTATTTAAAACAATGTTGGGGGACTTCGGTATTCTATTTTTGAAAAAATCTGATATGACTTGTTTTTGAGTTAATTTTGGGACCCAGTTTTTGTTTTTTTGAAAAATTTTTAATTTTGCAATTTTATCATTTTCTGGTATCACAATTTTTTTATTTATTCAGATTGTTTCATTTTTCAATGTTTCGGCTTTATGATTATTTTGTTTCCAACTTTAATTTTTTCAATTTTGCAAAATCTTTACTACAAATTTTCCAATTTTTCGTTTCTTCAGTTTTCATTTTTCGATTCTTCAGTTTCTCAATTTTTAATTTTTCGATTTTTCAATTTCTTGTTTTCTCAATTTTTCAATTTCTTGGTTTTTATTTTTCATTTTCCCGTTTTATAATTTCCATTAGCTCGATTTTATATCACAATTTTTCGTTTTTCAAATGGTTCAGAAGTTTCAAAGGACTGAAAATTCTATGGATTTTAATTATTCCAAGGATTTCAAAGATCACAAAAATTTTAAATATTCTAAGGGTTCTAAGGATTCAAAGGTTTCAAAGCATTCAAAAGATTCAAAGCATTCCAAGAATTCACGCGAGTTTAATGATCATGATTCTGTGGATTCTAAGAATTCGAAGGCTTCCAGTGATTCCAAAATTGCAAAGATTCAACGACTCAAATTATTGGAAGGATTCGAAAGAATCATAGAATTCAAAAGATTCTAAAGACAATGAGGATACGAGGATTGCAAGGAGTCAAAGGATTTCAAGGATTAGAAGGATTTCAAGGATTAGAAGGATTCCCAGGATTCGAAGGATTAAATTCTGAGGATTAAAAGAATTCCAAGGATTTGAACGATACGAAGTATTCTAAAGATTTTAAAAATTCAAAGAATTCTAAAAAATTCCGTGGATTCCAAGGATTCTACAGATTTTGAACAATCCAAAGGTTTGAAAGTTTTTAAAGATTCTAAGAATTTAAAAAATTCAAGATTCCAAGCATCCAAATGATTAAAAGGATTCAAAACATTTCCAAGAATTCAAAGAATTCATAGCAGTCAAAAGAGTGAGTGGATTCAAAGGAATTTAAAAATTATGAAGATTTTGAGGATTGTGATGATTCTAAGGATTGGAAGAATTCCAAGGATTCCAAGGATTAAATTCCAATTCCGAATGTTCTAAAGATTCCTAGGATCGACGGGTTCCAAGGATTCCAAGGATTATACAGATTTTAAAAACCTAAGGATTCTAAAGATTCCAATAGTATTAAGGACTACATTTCAAAAATTTCAAAGATTCGAAGGATACCAAGAATTCCAAGTACATATTCCGAAGATTCCAAGGATTCCAGAAATTCTAAAGAATCTAAAGATGCTAAAGATTGAAAGAATTTAAAAGATTCAAAGAAATTAAAAAAATTCAAAATTAGGAAGATGATTAAGATTCTTTTTCTACGAATTCGAAGGCTTGAAAGGATTGCAGGAACGGTGAGGATTTTAAGGATTTCAAAGATTCCGAAAATTTCAAAAATTCTAAAAATCTATGGATTCTGAAGATTATAAGGGTTCACAATATTCAAAGGATTCAAAACATTCCAAGGGTTATGAAGATTCTGACGATTTTAAAAATTTGAAGAAGAATTCAAAGGATTACGAAAATTCCAAGAATTCGCTTTCGAAGGTTCCAAGGATTCCAAAGATTCGAAAGGTTCTAGAGAATCTACAGATTCTTAAACATTCTAAATATTGTGACTATTCAAAAGATTCATAGGATTGAAAGCAGCCAAAGTATTCTAATAAATATTAGGAAAATTCTGAGGATTTTAAGGATTTGACGTATTCGAAATGACGTATCTTCTAAGAAATTTTATTAAATTATTATAAGAAAAGACACTGGAGGCTCCAAAGTACTTTCAAATTCTTTCCAAACTGGAACATCTATAACCTCAGGATTATTTTAAATTTTTCAAAAAAAGGAGGGTCCCAAAATTAACTCAAAAACAAGTGAGGTCAGAATTTTCCAAAAATAGAACACCGAAGTCCCCCAAAACTGTTTTAAATAATTATTTACAAAAAAAATCTCCATGGGCTCCCAAAATAATACACCATGGGTACCCAAGAGTCTCCCGAATTAAAAAGAAAAACATTGCGGGACTCAAGACTTTTTCAAATTTATAAAAAGTTAAACACTAAAAGCTCAAAAGCTTTTTTCAAGTTCATTCAGCAACAAAAAAAATATGATTTCTTTAAATTTATCCGAAAATAAAATACCAAGGGACCTAAAATTAACTGCGAACATTTTGTAGGATTTTGAAAAGTTTGAAAATTTTTGATACGTCAAACTTTTTTAACTGCTTACTCGAGTTTTGCTGATTTGTACCTTCGCTTTATATCAGGTAAACATTGTTGTCAAATGGAATTTTATCAAATTGTTACAAAAACAACACAACCATATCTTTGTATATTCTAACTGAAATGGTAATTAAACATGGTCATGGGCGAGAGAAATGTTAACTACAAGTTTTATTACTAGTTATTGTGATAATGAATGTGTTGTTTAGTTGTTAAACGTAGCCAAAGAACCAATTTTAAAATCATTATAACTCCACTAAAATGTGAGAAGGAATTTTTTACTGGTTTTGCCAAACTCACCAGTTGATTGTTAAGAGCATAGCGGAGAGTTAACCCGCCATTTTCCAGACAACCGGTATAATTATTCGGGGATTAATTATTTAGGCAGTTTTTTTAAACATCTGGGCGGTTACACTGAACAGTTAATAATTTACATGGACAGTATTAAATTTTTTAGGCAGTAATTAAATAAATGTGGCAGTAAAACTTGGCCAGTATTATAATAGAATTTGATCAGTTATTTAATCCTACATGGGCAGTGCAATTATTATTTGAGTGGTAAAATGAATTTGAATGGGCAGTTAAATAAGAAAATATAAGTAAAAGTAAAAGTTAAATTTTATGTTAGGATAGGCGAAGCTTACGCGACAGTTGATTAGTTTCGTTCATTAGTGCAGTTCAGAGCATCGATTTAACGTACATTTGTGTTATTTTTAACTTCTGATCGCCAGTATTATGGAGAAAAACACTCATAGCGAGTACACTGCTTCCCTCAATAGTTGTAACGGGCGGAACCTGATTTGTTAACTGCTTGCGTGTAACTGCCCATTTATTTATTCTACCACCCAACTAGATTTTCACGCATTCAAGTATTTATTGAGGTAGGTACTCATTTCAACATGTGTGTCTCCCCGTTTTTATTTTTTTGCTGCTCAGATTTTACCGCTCAATATGTTATTGAACATACAATTTGTATTTTTAATCTCGCCCAATCTGTAATATATTACTGACCGTTTAAATGATGACGAGCCTAATTATTCTTAGCAGTTAACATAAAATAATGAAAGGAGTAAATAACTAAATAATGTCTACATCGCTTCTGCACGCTTCTTATGCTACAGGAGTGTTCAGCCTAATTTATCCAACATGAAGAAAAAAAATTTTGTCTAAAAACTAAAAGCATTTCTATTTCTAACCAAGTTCAAAATTATTCGTGTGTTTACACTGGATAACAATCGACCAGAAAATTTCTTGCCTCAGTTATCAATTTCAGTATGTTAAAAAATCCGATTTCGTATCATTTACAGCGAGGAAACCAGAGAATCTCAAAGAGATCAAAGAAGTCTCATACAAAAATTGCCTCAATAAAAATCCGTCTTTTGAATCATTAATCGCCCTTCTGAAATAATTTCGTTTAATAAAACCATTGCGCTCTGAAAAAGTGTAAAAAGCGATTGCAAGCG